GTCCGATCTCTGGTAAATTTCTATCAATAGGTTGAAATTAACAACTGGTAGGTTTTCACTGTTAACCCCTTAACAGTCGGTTAATTTTCAAGAAAACGGTCATAGAAGTGCCTATTTTTTTGGCTTTAAGATTTGTATTACAAATTTGATTAGTGCTGCAACTAGTTTAAAATAAACTAACTATCTACAATTACCTTAAAAATATTCTGGTACTGCTATCAGGTGTGTAAAGTGAGAAATAAAATGTTTTCCGGACAAAAGAAATGAATTAGTTTTATTCTCACTGAAGCGTTAATACTGAACACTCCAGCCCGTTAATATCACGGGATCGAAAAATAGCGGGTGAAATCTCACCCCGTCATTTTCACGGGAGCGAGAAGGAAGGGGGTTAATCAAGCTCTTGCCTATAGGTTAGGAAAACCCTTGAGGGCTCACTGTAGAACCATCCAGATATGTCATCATTTGTCTTAGCGGTAGCTCATTTGAGTGAAGCTGGCAGAGGTTTTTTAAATTATTTTTCAAGCAAACAAATAACACCTCTCGAGTTTCCCGTGTTTACTGCAGTTCCGTCGCATCCAACCACATTAAATTCAGAAGCATCAATTTCTTCACTATTTAGAAATTTCAAACTAGTTTTTGTTACATTTGATGCTGAAGGAGTTACTGGAGAAACTTGCTCAAGGTAAACAGTTCCTGATTCTTGAATAATCAATATATGTTCTTCCATTTTAGATCTGCGGGGGGGGGTCGGCGATGCTTTGCTTCTCTATGACCAATACCTTGTCCTTTCTCCCGTCAAAGTAAATACCAGAAAGCTTAATTTCTCCTTCTGCTACTTGATGCTGCAGATGTCTTCTCATTTTTCTTTTTTCTCTTCGAACTTTAGATCTGCCTACGATGATCGGAGATGCTTTGCTATTCGGTACTTCAGGATCATTTGTCTTTCTTTTTTTCTCTATGCAAATCGTATAGTAAATCTAATGAGAGGGTCAGCTGCAGATCTGTCTGTCACACGTTCTCTCAAATGTCACAAGTTGGATTCTGGCTTTAAGTGTGACTGAAGTTGAAGGCGATGGACAGTCTGGGCATCTGTTACTTCTTTAATATCAAATTCAGAAATTTCAGAATGCATTTCTTGCACAATATTAGCAACTACAATATTCCGATTTTGCTTGTTTTCATAATATTTAGAAACTTGTGATTCGCTTGAAGATTACTTCGTTTTCTGTTTTTCTTTTCCCTTCATTTTTTTGTTTAATTTTTCTGACATTCTCAAATCAACAGAACCAATACTCATTCATCTCACAATGGATAATTGCAGTAATATTTTTTTAAACCTTAATCCATTCAGAATCCCTCATAACTCCCAGAAAACATTTTATTACTTTTCTAAAAGTGCTAATTATTAAATTATTTTTAAGTAGAAAACTCTTACTTTCGTTTTTATCTGAAACGGGGTCTGATTATTCACGAGCTGACGTTATCCGTGTCCATTAGCCGTTCATTTACAATCGTTATGCTGTGAAATCCATAACGATCTTGACTTCATTTGAATTCCTTGGCTTCTTTGTGAAATCCAATTATTTTAGATTATAAATAACAATGTGAAAACAAAGATATACGTAATAAATTGTCCACTAAAGTAGCTTAATGAAAATGTGAGCTTATCTAACATAATTTAATAATATTGTTAAATTTCAATGGTACCCATTGAAATATTGTTAACAGTTGGTGAAATTTTCTAGTTCTGAATATTTAAGATTGTTTAGTTCAGTAAAAAAATTGTTAGAATGAGTTATGGAATCCTGATATTACTTATTAATATGATGCGTTATAAATATAAAATAATTTTGTTATTTTCCTTTTTTTAACTATGTTAAACTTAATTTTAAAGTATATTTAAAATTCATTTCGAAGATTTATTTTCATGTTAAGTGAAAGAAATGTTGATTTAATTTTTTTATGTAGATAGAAATTTTAAATATATAGAAAAGCTTAAGTTATTGATTTTATTTATTTATTGTAGCTTGAATTTAATGCAGTAAATTATCTTCAGCATAGCAGTAGCCTTTAAAAAAAAAACTTGTGATTACAGCAAAACTTTCAATTCATTCTTACAAAGAAAATAATAATAATAAGTAAGAAGAAAAAAAAAGAAATTAATATACTCCAGTAGATTCTATCATCTTTATTTTGATTGCGTTAATTTATGTTATGAGAGTACTGAAATCAAACATGTGTATTTATTTAGTTCTACATAACAGAAACAGGAATTCAATTTTATGAATGCATATAAAAGTATCTTTTCGCCATAGCGAAATTCCTATTTATTCAAAGAATAAAAATTTTGAGAAAAGATATCAACATTACTGTCTTTTTATATTATTTAATAAATAATAAAGAATGTGAATTAGAATTTCATTTCATTTCGCATAAGTTTTTTTTTTTTAATTCTTTATATTTAGTGAAACAAAAACGTCTAGCTTAATGATATTCGCAGAAAATATGTTGTTTCTAAACTAAATTACATTGTGCAGCAGTGTGCAATCAACCTTTTGAGACAGAAAAAAAGGAATTCCACAAATGGTTCATAAATCCATATTTATTGTACTTCACAAAATTTCTTGGTATTCTTCTTTTGACGTTTAAATTTTTATTTTGGATAGTGAAAAAAAATAGCGAAATGGAAGGAGTTGGCGGGAAATGAAAATATGTAAAAATATTTTGAAAAAATTTACTGGTAATATTACATTAAATGCAAAACATTTGAGAGTTAATTTGTTTTAATTCGACAAGTTTTAAAGATTTTATAAATTTAAAAAATTTAGAGTTTTTAAAAAAAATCGAAATTTTAGAATTTTTGCGGAGAAATGAAGATATTGAGAGAAAAATTCTAAAACAATCACTAGCAATATTTCACTCAATTAACAAATTTCGAAAAGTAATTTGTTTTTGTTCGACAAATTTTAAAAATTTAATAAATTCACAAAATCTGTGATTTTTTTGAAAAATTTCGAAGTTTCAAAGCTTTTGTGGAAAAGGAAAATAATGCATAAAAATTCTGAAAAAAACTCACGAGTAACACACTAGTCCATATACAACTTGTGAGAGGAACTGCTAGTTAATTATCGAAAAAAAAATTCTCCACTCCACTCTACTCTGTGATTTATTATTCCGCCTTATTGCGTTCTCAATAGATGTAAGAGTGTAAAAACCAAATTAAAAACTATTAATTTGTTTGTTTATTTTCCTTCTTACATCTATTGAGGATATAAAAAGGCGAAATATTTAAATATAATTAGCGAAATTAATATTTAAATATAATTGGAGAATATAATTAGCATGTTCCTTATACGTCTTCACTTAAACTTTTCTAAAACCTTAAAGTTATACTAGAGCAAATGCACTTAAGGAAATCGAATGTTTTAGATGATTGATAAAATTCTTTAGATTCCTAACAACCTAGCTAATGAAAAAAAAATCGGCTCAATTACAAGCTTTTTGAAATCCAAATGTGTTTTTAAAAACATATTGTGTTGCAATTTGCATCTACATCTTTTTTTAAATCAGGAATTAGTTTATGTTAATAATATGAACATAAAAAAAAAACTATTTACAGTTTGAATTAAATCAGCACAATTCACTTTTATGATGATATTTATTAATTGACTATTTGATTTAATGAACAAATAATAATCTGATAAAAAAATTAGCATTTTGTCAATTACCTAGACTAAATTTAATAGAATTAGTGAAATTAACTAACTTAATGTAATCAAAGTTTTTTCATACACACATTTCCTCTCTAAACGGAGGAAAACTTTTAATCAACTCCTGAGCATTGCTTCCCTTCACTATGACTTCGTAAATACGAAACTAATCATGATAATCAAAATCGGGATCATTATCAATTTTTTTTAAAACAGTTCCCAAAACATAACTGTCAAAATAACTGCAAACTTTAGAAAATAATCTTCGATATAGTGTTCAAACTTAGACTAAGAACCTTAATTGGTAACTCCCTTACCTTGTTTTCTAACCTTATTGGTAAGCACCCTTTTTTTTTTTAGTATTTATCATTTTATAGCAAAAGTTTTCAAAAGTACTAAATTCTACATGAGCTCCCTTTACCCCAATAATATTTAACCCATCGGAAATCTTTTAACGTAGCAATTTATTTTAAGAAATGAATAAGATATATGAGTGAGAAATTAATGATAACACCTGAACATTAATTCTGTCTATTACAAACTAATGCTGCAGGCTTTCCTACAGATAAATAGCACACAACATTTAGCATAGCACAACATAGCTCCTTGAGTACATTTTTGCTCTGAAACTCAACGCAGTCCCGCAGTGGACTGATCGTTAAGACACGGTTCTCATCAGATCACCGAAGTCAAGCATCACTGGCTGCGGTCAGTGTGCGGGTGGGTGACCCACTTGGATCAGTCTGCGTAGGGACCGAGGGTGTGCGGTATTGGTCCTCGTTAAACTGTGCTACCGTAAAGTGCTCGACTTCGCATGCAGGTCGTTGGGCTACCGAAGCGGGGGTGCCATCCCCTCTGCAGAGGATCAAAATTGTGATGGCATGTCTTCGGATCATCCTCAGGGATGTTTCCCAGACCGTCGCCAATAGCCCATTGTGCAGTTCTAGTGCGACGTAAATCAACAACTCAACGCTATGAACGAATTCATTTCCCGATTTTGTCCTTTAAATTCTTATTTCTTTTTTTTGATCTAATTAATATTAATTTGAACTTTGCTTTACATTTTGGTTGCAATATGGTTAGGACATTCTGAATGAATGTGATATATAGATTTTCGTTCATTATCTGGCTGGAGCTAGAGCATAGCCTGAACAAATGTAAGTAACCTGATAACCGATAATTGGAAACCCAAATTCGCGCGAAAATTTCTTATAGTGAAAATACGCCTTATTTTAAATAAATGTGAATCATAGAACTTTACAAAAGCAGAAACAAGTAACTAATAAGTATCAGAAATATAATTGATTGTAATCAATCCCTCAATCATTCATAACCATAACAAACCGAAAAACCGTGGGTGTTTGCTTAAAGAATTTTGTTAATTCCCGGTAATTTATTAAAAATGGCCGCATCTTATACAATGCAATCAGATCGTCCCTCCTCTTTGAATATAGTTTATTCATCTAAGTCTTCAAATATTATGGTATGTCATTGCAAATACGGCGCATTTCATTAATAAGTTTTGAGTTGAATTCACAATTTCTTTTTTTTTTTTTAATTTTGGTATTTGAACTTTATTTTTGTCGTAAATTAATAGAATTCTTAAAATTGAACCTTAAAATCTAAATCTATCTACAGAAATTACTTCTTAGTTATGTCATTGTATTAACAAATTCATAATCTATGCTATTATATAACATTCAAGTTTGTATTTCTATTATACAATTGTCATATCTCTTTAATGTATGTTATAATTTCAGTTACTATTATATTGAATTTATATCCCTTTAAACGATATTACTTGATTTTTTTTTTCTCATTTGAAGCCTTGTTATTCTAGCTAAACTCTAAAACAATTAAACTGCTCTTTTATATATAAATTTTTTCATTAAAAAATCTTAATTTGAAAACTTAAGGGGAAGGAAATTTTATAAATCATTTCACTGATTAGAAAGTAATTTCAAAACTTTTTTGAAAAGTAAATTTTAAAATCAAAAAGTGAACTTTGAACCAAGAGGTTGGAGACACTTGGCCTTTGCTGTAGTTAGGATAAAAATTCCGAAACAGAGATGCATTTTTTTTTACTTAACAATATTTTATAACAGATTATTTAATATCTAACCTATTATTTATGCAACATACACCCTCTTGAGAAATTAATTTAATAATTATTTTAAAACATTATTTTGAGTAATTCAATTTTTTCACACTACATGCCCTTTAATTTCAGCTAATATTAAGAGAAAAAAATTTAAAAAATAAAATGAGTTACTCATACTAGTCATTAGAAATCGCAGGAATCCACATAAGTTACAATAAATCTCTACAATTGAACAGACACTCACTTTTTAAAGAGATTCTACTTTTTTCAAACAAAAATGCCGGTTTTTTTTATATGATCCACCAATGCAATGCTTCGGCATTCTTAATTTTTACTAAAGAATGTTATTCTTTACAATTAAATAGACATGTTTCTGTACTTTTTATGTTGCTTTCGTTTTACAGAAGACCGGAATTCAAAATATTCATGTAAAAAATTGGGCTGAAACATATGAATGTAGACCAGACCTTTTCTTTGCTCCAAAAACAGCAGAAGAAATATCTCAGGTTGGTACATAAAATTTTTAAAGCTATCGTATCTTTGATTAATTAAATATTGTAATTGCTTGGTCGGGATCTTTTCTGTTTTTCTTTTTATAAAATTATAGCTCTTATTCAAATAACAATACATAGCTTCAGAGAATAACATATTTTGTGTCAATACTTGCTCTTGCTCCAAGACTCAAGAAACCCCAACCCATGATTGTTCTAAAACCAAAAAAACGTGAATCACAAATGAAAAGAAATGGACATACTATAGTTTCAGTTCAAATCAGTGTCTAAATACTAAACCAATGATAGAGAATTAAAGGAACAAACTCGTTAACAAAGTGCTTTAACCTCTAGGGGCACAGGAACAAGTTTGAGTAGCATAAAAAAAAAGGAGATCTGAGAAATGTGTGTGAGGGGATTTGGTGCGATCCCAGGCTACAACAGATTAAATTAGATTAGACTTACAAATATTGGGAAATGGTGAGGTATTATAAAGTTCATTAACTAAATTATTAGAATTCTAACAAAAGTTTGGAGTAAAGACACTAAGGAAGGTTCTTGTTTATTAAACCAAAACGTATGTATTTTTTTGAACTTTCATTTGTGCTTTATTATCTTTTATTCTTTTGTTTAAATCTACATATCACAAAGTATATCCTATCTTTTTTGGACGATGACCGTTCATCTGTTGTTGTTTTTTTTTTTTTTGCAGCGCATTTAGTTTGCATCATCTGATCAATCTACTCTGCTATATTGATGTTTAAGTTTGGTTTTATATTTTAACCCAGTTCAGCTATTAGACTACTAAATTCTGCAATTAGTTTTAAACTAATCTTTAATGTAATATAACAGATAATACTAACTTAGCTCTATGCTGCAAATTCAGGACATTTCTTAAATGAAAAATTTATTAACTTTTAAATAAATTTCAATTAATAAACTTTAAAAATCAATCCTTTTCAGTTACTTTTTAATTCTATATGCATTCTATATATATATATATACACACACACACTGAGTGGCCAAATTATTATGACCACCTCAGAGTTTTATGCAAATGAGTTATTGCATCACAGTGTTGCCGCTAGAGGGCAAGATAACCATAACACGGGAATGCTGGACAAGTGAGTCATCAGTTATACTGTGTTGCTTGCTCAGATATGGGAAAGAAAAGTGATTTAACTGAATTTCAACGGGGAATGATTGTGGGTGCGAGATGTGTCGGAACGAGCATCAGCAAAACGGCTGCACTTGTGAAGTGTTCTAGAACAGCAGTTGTTAATGTGTACAAAGAATGGACAATCAAGCAAAAAACCGGATCTCAAGGTCAGACTTGTGGTCATCACAGGGTACTGAATGCTCGATCAGAGAGAAGGCTGGCCAGGGTTGTGCAGCGCAATAGGAGAGCAACATTGCGACGAATTGCAAGTGATCTTAATCAAGGAGCAACTGTGAACGTTCTGTTCGACGCACATTGTGCCGTATAGGGTATGGAAGCAGACGACTGAAGGGGTGGTCATAATAATTTGGCCACTCAGTGTGTATATATATATATATATATATATATATATATGTGTGTATAAAGTTTTTATTTCATTTTTTGGGCATCCTTTTTCTAGATATTAGTGGAAAGAGGGATTTTGCTGGTTTGCTTTAATTCTTGGCTTCTGAAAATTTCTATTTTATAATATTTATTTATTTGCGTTTTATTTTAAGCTTTATATGTATTTTTTTTTTAAATTGAAGACATAATTACAATCAGTATTGTTTAAGTTAAGTCAAAATTAAAAACAATTTTTGTTTTGCTCTGTTTTTTAAAATATTATCTACTTGAATATTACTTGTGTCTCAAACTCCTGTTTAAAATCTGATGATTATATGAGCCATAATTATTCAAGCATAATTAAAAAGTTGATAAAATAAATAAATTTATATTTAATTCAACAAAACCATGAATTAGAGTACATGTAAAACTGAGTTTTTTAAGGGTTTTAATACCATATTTTCCAAATAAAGATCACATTTAACAGGTACAATTGTTAGAAAATAAATTGGAACTACATAAGAAACAAACCTTCAATCAGGCAGAGTTCTCCCTGGAATAAAAAAAGGGCAGGGTGCTTAGTTTCAGAAAAAGGCACTTTGAGTTTTGAAAAGGCTATATATCACTTAACATAGTAAAAATTTATCAAAATGTGTAATATTATGTAATACCTGAATTTTATCCTCAACAATTTTTAAATTACTTATTTCAAAAAGAAATTANAGTTTTGAAAAGGCTATATATCACTTAACATAGTAAAAATTTATCAAAATGTGTAATATTATGTAATACCTGAATTTTATCCTCAACAATTTTTAAATTACTCTCTTATACTATTTTATTTGCATATTTCAAAAAGTAATTCTCTCATTAACAAAATAAGAGAAAAATTTGTAGTTACTAAAAATAATTAAAGGCATGCTAAAAGACAATCCCTGTGTTTTTTATTTATTTATTTATTTTTTTTANAATAAAAAAAAAAAAAAAAAAAAAAAAAGTAAACTGAAAAAAAAATTTTATTAATTGATAAACAACTTGAAAGCTTTTTTTATATTTAAACTGAAAATTATGAGAAATCATAATTAAACCTATGAACACAGATAATTTTACCAATGTGTAATTATTATTTAAACAGTGAATTAGTTGTTTTCCAAAATGGAATATAAATAAATAAGCAGTGTTTTTAAGGGGTGAGGGCTTATATTTATTAAAAAAAGTAAAAAGGGCGCATTTATTGGGATGAAAGGGCAAACAGAGCAGGCCACCCTTCTAAAAACACTTAGGGAGAACACTGAATCAAGCTCGAATTCTAACCACATAACAAAGCGGGATGTAGACTATCGGCTTTTTTTTTTTTTTTNATCTATAATTTTTTTTTTTTTTTTTCATTTTCAGCTATAGTCTCTCATTTCTTTTTCAGCTATAGTTTCAGCTTGTAAAACAATAACTCTGATATAATTTATTCTATAGTCCTGGTAGAGATGCATTAAAAATACTTATTAAACTTACAAGTTCAGATATATTTTCTTTAATACTGTATTTTTAGATTTTGGACGTAGCTAAGCAAGAAGAAAAACGAGTAAAAGTTGTTGGTTGTCGACATTCTCCTTCAGACATAGCTTTTACCAATGGAATTATGATAAGTTTGCAACACATGAATAAAGTTTTAGAGGTAATAGTATTTGATTGATGTTTCTATATTTTACTTTTTCTATTTTTAATACTAACATTGCATTAATATAATAATAATTATTATTATTATTTAAGATTGATAAAAACAGTAAAAGAGTTAAAGTTGAAGCTGGAATCCTTTTGAGAGATTTGAATAAAACTCTTTATTCGAATAATCTTGCATTGTCAGTGTAAGTATAAATCTTGCTTTCTTATAGATTTTTTAACTTAACAAAATTTATTAATAAAAAATTATCGATAAGATGTACAATACGAATTGTATTTGTGTTTCACTTTTTATCTCAATATTTTCTGTATGATATATTTTTATTTGTAAATATTCATTACAAAAGATTAATTAGTATTGTCAATGTAAAAATCTTCTTATTTTCCTTTTAATATTTTGTTTTTAAACTTCTGTTTTGATTACTTGTTTGACCCTTGTTTCAATCTTAACTTGTCCTGTTGCTGTCAGAAATAAGAAATGTTACTAAAATTCAAAATTTTTCATTTTATTTCATATCCAGGGGTGATCCTAGCTTAAAGATTTTAAAAAGGATAACATGTTGAGAATTTTTTGTAGACATTGAAAAATAAAATAGATAATCCAAAATCTTTATATATCAGCATGTTCTTTGTTATTAAAAAACTAAAAATAATTTAATTATTACTTATATTTTTTTCAAGAATTGAATAAATAGAATGTAGTGATTTTATATATGATTTCTTTTTATAATTCCAAACAGAGTATACAAAACTGAACCATGTTATCTACACTTTTGCAGTTAAAGCAAAGGTCCCAAAATGTTATGACTGAAAATTTGATTTTTTGATTTCATCAATTTGGTATTTCCTTTTGAGAATTATGAACTTATATAATTCTCTGTCTTCTGTGAAACTTTTTTTAAAAGATGTTTAATGGAGTTCATGCATAAAATTCATTCATATGTTCTATTAATTATATTGTACTTCCTATATTATTTTCTTATATGTATATTTTAAAATTGTTTACAAAAAATGGGATTTTAAATTTTAAATTTTTTATTTTATTTATTATTATTAAAGAAGAATACAATCACAAAAAATAATAGCTTCTTGAACAATTTTTAATAATTTTTATGAATTAGAATTGATATACTTTCAGTTTAATACATCTCCATCTTAAATTGTTTGCAGCCCTAAGGGATGTTTCCCAGACCGTCGCCAATAGCCCATTGTGCAGCTCTAGTGCGATGTAAATGAACTACAACATAATTGTTGCAGTATATAGTTTTTTTTTTTTTTGCTGAAGCAGTCATTTATGTTAATTTCTCTGCGAATTCACATTTTAAAATGGTGCTCATGTGGGATTATTTTAATTTCTTATTTTGTTGCCATTAATTAAATTCTCTTAAAAATTACTATACACTTTTCCTTTTGTACATAATATTTTATTTACTCTGTTTTTATTCATCTCTATAGACTTGGCTCTGTATCTGACATAACACTTGCTGGTGCAATGTGTGTTGCCACTCATGGGACTGGTTTAGAATATGGTACCATATCATCTTATGTAAGTATTCTATGTGTTCACTTGCAATGTAATGTTTATTATTCGATAATGGTCTTCTTTATTTATAATTTTTTTAAAAAATGAATGGTTCTTTATTTTATTTATCAGTTTAATTATGTATGAGATCTTCCAACACATCCTTAATGCACTAACTACACTTTTTATAGAAATATGGTCGTTCTTCTTTATGACATGTTATATTTAGTCTTTCTGTCATAATATAAATGCTGCTACAAATAACAGTGAACTAAATAGATAACCCATAGGGAATTACAGTAGGGAACCGATTATTCGGAACGATCGGGACCATCGCTATTCCGGATAACTTATTTTTCCGGTTTTCTGAATCGATACAAAAAGCCGTTTTTTTTTATTGTTGAACCCAGCTAAAAAAAAAAATAGTTGGAAATAATCTTAAAAAGAAAAAAAAACGATGAAGTAATACACTAATGATTATTTCCAAAATGATGGTAAGGTAAACATCTTTCAAAAAAGAAAGAAAAATCCTAAAATCTTATGAGGAAAAAAAAAATTTTTTTTTAATGGAGGGAAAATTTATCGAATTTCGTTCCGGTTTTCTGATTTCCGGATAACGGGTTCTGTACTGTATTTAAAAATGGGACATAATATACAATATAGTTCTGAACCTGTGATATGTTAAAAATCTTTACACAAAGCCAGGTTACATCTCTATTCAGCCTAGAATCTGTAGGAAGATTTTATGTTCTCCCTAACTAAAAATGCAAATTTTTACTCAATATCTATATTTTTCTTTTATTTATAATTAAAAGAATAATACTTATTACCATTATGTTTATTTTTTGTCTTAAATAATAATTATTCAAAATATTTTAACGAATTTAATTAAAGAAAGATTCACACTTTAGCTTGTTTCCAGATCCTGCTTGGGCTGTAATTGTTCTTTTATTTCACTGAGGGTTTTCCTTTTACTTTTAAATTGAAAAGAAAATCCAAAAAGGAGTCATTACTGCAACAAACTTTTACAGTACATTCTGGTTTAACTATCAAACTTGGTTATAATTGATCTAGGGTTATCGTGATTTTAATTATTTATTTTTTCATAAGAACTGATTAAAAACACTTGATTTTTTTTTTAAAAAAATCTTTCATATATGTCAAAAATAATTTCATAGTGTTCCTGATACATGTATTTTTGAGTTTGCAATTTTTTTTTCATAATTAGTATCATTAAAGTCTGATTTAAGTGACAGTGAAGGTTTATCTTTAAAATATGTCAATTTATAAGAGATTAATGCTCAAAATAGAAAAAAAGTCTAAATATAGATTCAAATTTAGCGAAACTCTTAAATTATAATTTAGGATTAGTTGTATGTACATTGATTGCTATTTTTCTATTAATAAATATGCTTCAATTATATCCATTTAGCTCGTTATTATGTTATGTTTTTTAATTACCTACGTGTTTATGTTAATAGAAACACATAGTTAAATAAAAATTTATTTATTTTTTTAGTATTTTCTGATTTATATTTATTATTTTTATTTAAGATCTAATTGACAAATTGGCTTTTTATCTTTAGAACTCATTACAATTTTAAGCTTAAATAAAAATGCCAATGATTTCATTTATCCAGTGATTAATTATGATTAAATAATAATATTAACCATTTTAGTGTGAAGTGCATTTCAGTTGTAGTACTGTTGTTAAATGATTTTAAGATTATTAATGTGTTTTAAAAGTGTTTTGGTTGGCGTATAGATATATAAGATAAAAACACAAAGAAAACAAGGAAGGAAACAACAAAAAAAAAATTAAAGAAAAAAAAATTTCAAATTAGAAAATTTTTTACGATGAAGCGATGTAATCTCGTCGTCATCTTACACAATTATGTATCTGCAAAAATTTTGTTTTATTTTGTATTTTTTCTTTGAACTTTTAGAATATTTTTACTTGATGAAATTCTCAATAAGAATTAGTCTCTCTATTTTTTTATTTATTTATATTCTTGGTACTCCTCACGCTATATTGATAAATTTTATTTCTTCGATGTTAATACCATATAAGAATGCACTATTTTTCGAATATAATGGTGTAGCTGATGATGGATAGCTCTGCTTTTTCCTTTGCTAAATTTTATAATTTTTGATAATTTCTCTCCTTTTGTTTAAAATTTTTTCTTGTTGTTTTTGTGTTTTTATGTACTTGTAGCTTATGTACAGTTTGTAAAACTTATATTACACTATTATTATTATTATTATTATNTATATATATATATTGTTTTACTGTTGTTATGATTAACAGGTCACAGAATTGGAAATGATGCTGGCAGATGGTTCTGTAAACACATATTCAAGTGTAAGAGATGGAGATATTTTTCAGGCAGCTCTGTGCAGTCTTGGGTCACTAGGAATTATTTTGACTGTCACTATACAATGTGAAGAAGCTTTTAATTTACAAATGAGGCAATATGGTCTAAGTTTAAAAGATGTATGTTGAATATTAATCTTTTAACTGTAGAGTTTAATTGCTTAAATCAACTCGCAATTTGTTTCAAAATACTGTTTAATTACATAAATTGTAATTAATATTTATTATTCGAAAAATATAAGATGTTTTGAACAAATTCTATTTGAGTATATTTTATACGAAGAAAATAATGTTGCACTTTTAAAAAAATCTATCTGTCTAAAAGTCGTTTATAACACTTCTTGTTGCATTCTTATTTATGTTTTTACTTAATTATTTTCAGTAATTTTAATCTTGATCCAAGTTAGTATAAAATAATTTAAGTGCTAACAAGTTTATAAGCTTATTAGCTCTTGCAAAAAGAAAAAAAAATCAGTAGAGAATTATGAACCAATAAAAATCCAAGGAAAATATAAAATAAAATAAGTAAGAATTTGATGCAAATATGAATATTTCATAATTACAATTGTATCATATTTTATCGAAATCAAACATACTATTTAATTTGATCATCTAAAATGTATATTTATTTTTATTACAGCCATCAATTGTGTAACAACAATAAACACACATAAATTGATAATGAATAGCATTTTATTTTCTACAAAAAAGGTTTTTATGATTTCCTTCAGTGTTTGATGTTTTTTATTTGTTAAGTTGAATTTTTTAGAATTATCTTGATTCATAAAATATTTTTTTACATAGGGATTGATTAATATTCCTTAATTTTTTTTCTTCCACTCAATAAGTTGTTAACAGTTTAAGTATTTAAACAGTATTAATATAAATATTTGAAGCATAAACTTTAAATAGTAAAAGAAAAGTTGTTGTTTTAAGTATGCATATTTTTACGTTTAAAGCATTTATATATTACTTTTATTTATTTTTTCAAATTTAAAAATGAAAAGCATAAATGAATTCAATGTGATCAAGTATGCCAAACACTTTTCCTCTGCTACATTTGTGCTTATTTTCCATAGCTGGGATAGCAAAGAGTAATAAACAGCAGTGTGCCTTATTATCGAACCAAGAATTGAATAATTCTAGAAATTTATTTTTAAGTAATACTTTTTCATAAAAATTTGTTTTCATATATGATTTTTTATTACAAAGTGTGGCTAATAATTTCCAAGACTGATCCAAATACACCTAAAAATATTGCATACCTGTTTAATATGTTTGAAAGAAATCCATTTGTCGTAACACTCATAATTCTTCGCTACTTTGATACAAAAATTTCAGAAGTCCTGAAGTCCTTTTTTGAAATACTCATAATTTCTGACATCCTTCATGCCTTTGACATCTGTATAACTTTTTCTTTTAGTAAATTATTTAGTTAAAGAAACAAAAAATCTTTAAGAGAATTATTCATCATAACAACCTACAAAACTAAAAAATATGCTAAAAGAGCAAGATTTAAGGATGTTGAAGTCATCAAGAAAATCCCAACATCGGGATTGAAGAGCATTAAAATGGTTATTTCTGAAGCTTATACATCTAATAATAGAAGTACATTACAGACGTTGGTGGTTACTTGGAAACATATTGAATGGATGTGTAATTCTCATTATATTTTTAAGAGTAATTAAATTGGACCTGGAAGTAAATATTTGCACCTCATAATATAGTGCCGTGAATTTTATATGTTAATTTTTAGTTAAATGGTTATTTTTGCAGGTTATTGAAAACCTAGAGGTACATCTCAATGGTTCCGATCATTGCCGATTTATGTGGTTTCCATACACAGATAGTGTTGTCATGTCTCATGCAACTCGTACAGAATTAGTAAGTCCATTTTAGATTTGTTCTAATATTGATAGTGATTTATATTGATAGAGAAATCACTGCCTTGAAATCCTTTTCAATCTTAATATCTTTTAATTTTTTTAATTTTCTTGTTCAAGTACGGTGGAAGAAAAGATACTTCCATACATCATGTTCTGTAGTTTTTCTACTTTGATAAGTTTTTTTTTTTATTAGATTCATCATTCCTTAATTTTGTATATTTTTATATATGTTATATTTTTTAAATCTATAATTGAATTTTCTTTAAAATCTTTATTTTCAAGTAAATAAAATGCTCTTATAAATGTTACTAGTTTTTGGATGTATTTATGAATGAAATAAATATTTTGTTCATGCTTATGCCAAAAATAAATATTTATCACATTTCTTTATGAATTAATGCAGATACTGGTAAACCTTATATAGGTTCTCCTAAAAATAATAAAGCAGTGGAGAGCCCTTTATGCTGAGGTCAGTTAATCGGACTGTCCGGGACCAGATAAATTAAATACCATGCATATCTTGTTTTTCCTTGTCTTTTTTTGTTTTCTTCATTAAAATTTACTTATCTTTAGATTCTCTGAAAAACAGTCTAAAAAAGGACAAGAAAATGCCTTTTTTTTTTCCTTTGTGTCTTTGGAAAATAAAACTCACTCCATTCTATGGAGATCAAGTTAGTGATTGTATTTGGTTAAGGGTTGGGGTAATAACAAAAATAAGAGTGCTTACTTTGTTCAGTTCAATGTCTAAAATGTTAATAATGGTATCTTTTATTTGTGCAACTAACTTCATTACATTATATTTAAATTAGTTTCGCTTTCTCAATCAAGATTCCAAATTTAAATTTTATAAATTCCTGTAAATTTGCTTTAATAAATTTGATTACATTTTCAAACTCCTAATGCCATGAAAATCTAAGAAATTGTTGATCAACAAGTTAAATATAGTAAATATCCTGTTAATGAATTCAACTGTTTATCGAAATTAAAACCATCAGGTATAGTTGGGATCACATTAAATAGCAGACACATTTATTGCTAGTATTGGCATATCACTGCAATTGAGATTCTGCAACTTAAAGTTAACATTTAGTATTTCTTGTTTAAATTGTTATTTTTATACATAATGCAACTTAATTTCTAGAATATAAATCATATGATTAAATTTTAATTTTAGCCAGCCTTGAAAGTAACATGGATAAGCAAGATATGGAATATGATATTTGATTATGGTGTTGGTTATCACCTTTTAGAATTTTGTTATTATATAAGGTAAGTAGCAAATATAAATGCAACTTAAACTTTATCTTTTTATGCGTTTTCATGTGTTAAATATTAATGATTTTTTTAGTTCTCAAAATCATCTATCAAAGAAATACAAGGATACTTAAAATATTTAAATGAAATTTAGTTAATATATCACACATATCATAGTTTAAGCAATTTTAATCATTTCTTGAATTAAAGTATTTCTATCATTTGACTGACGTAATAAAACCTAGTGTTTTTAGTTTCTTTTTCATTAATCCAGTATACTAAATAATTTATTTTACAATCCTTAATTCTTAACATTTGATTGTTATGTATTGAAGAACGATTTAATTTTTAGTATCATTGTTTATGTGTTGCAGATACTCAGTTATTAGTTTTAAATAGTAAATAGAGTTAAGAAAGTATTGCTAAACTTTTACAACAAAATATTACTGAATATCTTTTAATATAATAAATTTTCTTCAATGTGACAAAAAAAATATATATTACCTATGCTTTTGGGTCTATGATGCCTTCCAATCATATTATGTGTGCGATTTTGTTGTTCATTTACTAGATACAGTTTATAGCGCCATCAAAAAATTTGTTGTTCGATTTGCTAAATATAGTGTGACCAAGTATAATGCGCCTTATTGAGATTCTAATTTCGGAGAGGCAACGTAACAGAAAAGGTTTGAGAAACTGTGGTAAAACATCTGAAATCTTTGACAGCTGTCTTTTAAAATATCTTAAATTTTGAAGTAGAAAATTTTCTTATGAAATAGTGGAATAAGCTTGTCCTTGATGAAATGCATCAGTGCATATTACTGATTATACACTGAATCATTGTTTCTAAATCATTCTAATGTATTAATACAAAACTTCTTTTATAAGAAACTAATATTTATATAAACACATGATTTTTAATACAAAATTCTTAATTCGCTAACATTTTTTTCCAGCACGTTTATGCCTCATATAGTACCATACATAAATAGATTCTTTTACTACACAGTTTTCTCTGTTTACACTAGAAAAATTGATAGAAGTTATAATGTGTTCAACTTTGAATGTCTCTTTAAGCAGTATGTTAATGAATGGGCTATTCCTATGTAAGTATATTTTGTTTCTCATTCCTTCCACTGGAAATATTCAAATCAATTATTTCTTATATTATATTAACTATGTCATTCAGGGTGTTCTAATAAGACAAAAATTTACTTCAGAAAAACAGTTAAAAGTTTGAAAAATAAATTTTACACTAAATTCATGTGAAAATGCATAACCTTTTCCTCCCAAAATTTTTCGTTTTAGTTCAAAATCTTTTTAACAGATGATGCTGCAGATAGTGGACATGTAAATTTAAGATAAATTATTGAAATCCTAATCATAATTTTACAAGAGAAAAAAATATAAGAACAAAAATTTATATTTTCAGAAAAAGAATTTAATACATCACATCATGCTACATTAATACATGTGAATGATCGTGATGGTGGTTTTGAAAATATTGCAATGCAATTACTCTTCATTCATTAAAAAAAAATATTGCGTGAATTTTCAATTCATTTTTTTAAACTTTCATGCTTACTATCTGCAACACCATCTACTTAAAAAAAAATTGAGAAAAACCAGAAATTCTTGAAGGAAATATGTATCCAGTTGCATGAATTTTCTGCAATTTTTTTCAAAACATTAAACACATTTTTGTTAATTTTTAAAATTTTGTCATTCAAATTTAGGACACTGTATAAATTGATTACAGTGTTTATTACTCATAGGATATTGAAATTAAACATAATTTTTAATATATAATCCTAATGTTGCTCAATATTGTCCTGTAGCTTTAATTCATACAATTGTCAGAACAGAATAGTTTTTGTGTGTGCTTAAAAAATTATTTCTTCAATATAATTCCATAAATCTTTATATAAATCAAATTTAAGTTTCAAATTATTTGTAGATTATTTTTTAGTTTGTTAAATTATTCTCCCTCAAATTCAAAATTTAAAAAAAAAATCAATTATAATTATGTCTCAATTGTTTAGAATATAAATATATAAAACCTACAAAATTTGATCTCAGCTTAACAATATAAATTAAAAGCATTTCTTTTTGCCCCATAATAATTTTTAAAAATCTCAAAAATGTAGTCTTGTAATGTCAACTTCTTGCATGCATGCTCTGGAGCAATGTTCCCCAATGTCCATGGATCAAATGGTACTGGGCCTCCCATTTCATTGAAACTGAATTTAAATTCCTAGGTTTATACCCTAAATTGAAAATATCTGTGTTCCATTAAAATTTTATTTATTTAAAAAAAAAAGGGGCCTCCGAAGATAGTGACATAAATTTTTTAAGATTTGGAATGTATCATTGTCTCCGATTACCCCCAGATGGAACCGTCTCATTGCAAAGAAACAAGCTCAGGGTTCTCGCTGATTTAACGTTCTAGTAAGCTAAAATGTTAAATCATTTTATATTTATTTTTTGGTGTAACTGTATTTTATTTGGAAGGCATGTTTAAATACAATTAAATTAAAATTAATAAATCAAAATAATCTAAAATGTAAACAATCAACGTCGTCGTCCCCCCAAGCGAACCACGGTAAAATTATCAAACGTTGACAGGTCCGTGGTGATAAAAAGGTTGACGAACATTGCTCTGGAGCACTGTTTTGGAACATGAAATTAAATATTCAATAATACTCAAAATAATGCTACTAATCTTCAGGAATTATGACTAGAATCATCTTAATATACATTTATGTAAAATCAGAGTTGGCAAGGTTTAGGTCATAATGGATTAATCCATGGTTCAAACCGTCCTGTCCAAAACTGTTTTAAACTGTCCAAAACACTTTTATTCAATATATGTCACAATTTTAAATAAAAATATTGTGAAAAATATAAGGTTAATTTTTGAACAAGAAACAAAATGAAGACAAGTTTTTGTCTTATTAAAAAAGTTTATTATTATTTTTAACCTTGCATTATTTATCCTTATCCAAAAAAATAATTTATCAGTATTAAAAGCATATTTATTCCAGTTTTTTGTTGTTCAATGAAATGTGGAGCTTCAAAAGTTATAAATCTTTTTCCTGTTATATTATTTTCTATTAATAAGTTAAAGCAAATTTTATAAAAAGTATCAAATATTTATTAATCTATGTAATTATTATGTGTACAATGGTTACACATATAGAATTTTGACCTTTTACCAATGTTTAAGGTTTTGGACACTTTAAGACAGTTTTAGTCGTTTTAGGGCAGTTTAAGACTGTAAAACCCATGTGTCCTGTCCAAAACCCCAACCCTGTGTAAAATTCTACAAAACATTTTTGATCTTAGTTTTATGTTAATTTACTTTCATTACATCTGGAATTATACTTAATAATTCCTTTCAAGCTTATTTAATAACCATAAATTTGTATTAAATAATTTCAGTGAAAAAACTGGCGCTGTTCTATGGGAACTTAGAGAGTGGATTGAGACTACCCCAGAAGTATATGTTCATTTCCCAATAGAAGTTAGATTTTGCAAAGCAGACAACATTTTCCTTAGTCCAGCTCATGGAAGAAATACATGTTATATTAATATTTTAATGTACAGGTTAGTTTTTGTTTACTTTTTATCAAGGAAACATTTCTGCATGTATGTGTTTATATATATACACACAAAAAAATCGAGGATATAAATATATCCTCGATTATTTTTTTTTTTTTTTGTCTAGTCAATTACCAAAATATTTTAATCTAAGTAAAAGTATTTAATTATATTTTTATTATTTCCTTAATCTGGTCAACCCCATCTTTTTTAGTAGCATTATTTTTAAAGTTTCTTGCACAATATTTTAATTATAATTGTTATAATAAACCCCAAATGCCTATGCAGCACTTTTCTATTTAATGTTACAAAAAGATATTCAAAAAACTTCAAGAAACAACAAGTTGTAATAAATTTGCTATAATAAAGAAAAAAATATTTGCTAATAATGGTGGGATATTAATGATGAAACGAAACATTGCTGTAAACCTATCACAGTTCGCGAATATTTATTTTTATGTATTAGATGTTAAGGAATCTCTTTATAGGATTTCATTTCCACATAGTTGTGAAGGTTTTTGAATAGAAGATATTAATTATTATTCATTTATAGAGAAAAGGATTAAATTAATTTTTTAAATGATAAGAAATATTTAATACCTATTTTGGCATCATAAAAATGTTCTTAATTGAAAATGCTTGTTATTAATACTTGTTAATATTAAAACGTGTTTTTGTATTTACTTACATTAGGCCATATGGGAAAGATGTACCTTATGAAAAATATTGGGCAGCATATGAAAAGATAATGATGGAAGCTGATGGCAGGCCTCATTGGGCTAAGGTAAGTGTTACAATTTATTTCATAATTTAAAATTTTTAGTATTTTAATTAAGTATAATGGGAAGTTGTTTGAAATCTATTTTTTGTTTAATTTGATTGTTTAGAAAGATAGAATAAAAATGTTTTTTCCAACTAATTCTATATAAAAATCAGTCATTTTTATTGTATTAAGAATGAGAATTTTTATGTAAAATTTTAAAAAAAGTTGAGCTTTTTTTTTGACATAAAAGCTAACAAATATTACATAGTTAATTATCTAATAAGTGAGTGTTGTTTTATTATTAAAAATTTATCTCTTTACAGAATGATTTGGATTTTTCATTCTTTAACGTGCTTTAGAAATTCGCCAAAATAACAAATTTTAAGGGAAATGTTTTCTTAAGTCTTAAAATAACCTTCTTATAATTAAAAATGCGTTATAAAAAATAAAGTAATATCCTCTGAAAATTTGTGATTGGGTTATTACAGCTTGATCTCAGCATAAAAAAATTATTTCAATTCATGTAAGCGTAATTTTTATTTAAGCTTAAATAACTCTAATATATTTCTGAATATTTTTCTATGTAGAAAAAAAATAGATTATCGCAAAATGTGAATATATATATATACCAATACACACAAAAAGTTGTGCCTGCTTATTTTTAATTTATGTTTTACTTGTTCTAGCGCACTGTAATTTAGGGTTAGAACTTATACTTACACAGATTTGAAATTTCAATTTTAAACCAGTAGAAAATCATACCATTATCATACAGATGTAGTAAATTGAGAACAATCGACCTATTTTTGTGTCTTTCTTTTACTTATTGCTTTATATTTCTCTATTTCATTAGGCACATTCAGTGACAGCTGATAAATTTAGACTGATGTATCCCTACTTTGGAAAATGGTGCTCAATACGACAAAAGTTGGATCCAACAAATATGTTTTTTAATTCTTACATGGCAAGGATTTTTTCTCATAGTAGACTATGATTAGGACACTAATTTTTATTGTAATTAAATTTCATAAACTGTAAATTAGTCATAAGTTAATTTTCATTACACAAATTGAAGAAATTTAATAAATTAGACTATTGTTTCTATTTAAAAACGCTTTTCATTTCATTATTATACAATTCAAGTCTAAAAACTGGAGGGTGAGCCTTGAAAAAGACGTTGAGTTTCAAATATTTGAAGGTGAGTATTGCTTGTAAAAAGCTCAACGCTATCCATGCTAATGTGTCAATTTAAAATAGAATGCGAGTTTTGACTTATCCCAGGAGAAAATCATTTTTAATGTGGATTGTGCATTTTCATCAATGGAAAATACTGTATTTAAACTAAAGTATTCTCGCAACAGCCCATTGTGAGTCATGGATAAAGTTCCACAATTTTGTGACCAAGAACGCAATTATGGCAATGTGGACAGCACTACACACAGGCCACTTTTATTTACCAGACAAGCAGAGCAGGCCTCAAACCGCCTCTGGGGATCGCAGTTCTTCAAAATTATAGTTCAGTACCTTAAACGCATATCCATTGCGGCTCAAATGCTATATTTAAGGATTTGAGTTTTATTATTTCTTATTAAATTTTTGGAAAAACAAGTTCAGTCATTGTAAGTTTTTTTCATCAAATACGAGAAATATTACAATTTATACAAAACTTGTGATATATATGTGCATTTTACCACAAATTAGCTTTCTGTCTCTGCTTATTAGTATTATTAAAAGAACACAAGACAATAATAAAGTTTGAAATTGTTTTTATCACATAGATGTAAATGTATTGTGTAGTAAGAAAGCAAAATTTTCTCAATGAAAATTTATTTTAATGAAAACATATGGAAATATATATATATGTACCATTTGCCTTAACAAAATGGGGGGAAAAAACTATATATACAATGAAATAAAATCATTTTAAAAATAGTGAACAAATTATTAGAATTAAAAAGCTAATAAAATTTAGAAAAATAAAAAGGAAAAAAATCAGTCTTATACAATTTTAATGAATAAAAACAATATTTGAGCATTATACATAAATCTATGACTTCTAAAGAATATCATTACTAATAAAATTAAAAACTTGCATTTTGTCAACTGCTAAAAAAAAAGTCTCTAGCTTTCAACTTAAAGGTAAATAGGATACTGGTTTAAAAAAAAGTAGACCATAAATATGAATACATAAAATTTATCCTAGTTTGATAATAAATATTTAAAAAAATTATTCTTGGATATTGTAACATTCTAGCACATTATCTTATACATTTAAAATAATAATAAATTCATAAAATGTATATTTTTGCAGTATTTAATGTTAAACATATATTAACTGCAAATCACTAGACTAAGAGAAAAATATCACATGTTAGGCAATTTGAGTTAAACTAGAGAAAATATGCAAATTAATTTCTTTATTAAATCGGTTAGACCACTAATAGATGTAATATAATATCATTAATGTATGAAAAATATAGCACATCAATGTTGTACTATATTTATCATTCAATGAAATATCTATTAATCCAAAAAAATTTCTGATAATAAACTTTTAACTTAGTTAAATGTACTCACTAAGTGAAAAACTGTAATAAGCCTCCTTGACTGAAGTTTAACCCTTAAAAAAAGTATTATAGTTATAGCCGTTTGATGATTTTTTAAAATCAGCTAAACCAAGTATCCAAGTAAACCAGAGGTAACTGATGACAATTTTGTCAGGATCAAGTTAATTAAATGTTTAATTATATCCCTATAAAAATTTATAGAATATGCTTAGGAGAGCCACTATGGATCACGGATTGAAATCCTCTTTCTATCAAGCTATCCATGGGTGGTTTTCCTCTTTCTGTAATGCAAATGCTGGATAGTTTTGTCAAAAAGTCCCAAGTTGATTGTCCTTATTGCTTGATCCAGGAATTTCCGTGTCTTCTGTATTAGGTTAAAAATTACAAGACTACGGAGTTGAACATTAGTAATCGTAAACTCAGAATGAGGTTGGCTGTTCAACACCGGTTATAAATAACTGATATATACTTAAGAACCTTTTCAAACTTAGCAAATATCTATCTTTTGATCTCTGTATAGTGAAATAGTAAGTTCAAAAATCATCTAGGTGGTGTGGTCAACCAGGTACTGAGCGGGATCAACAAAGGAAAGGTATGATGTTCCATCATCAAAATCTAAGAAAAACTCATAAGAAAGTGATGTCTCTATCAATTTAATTCATTAAACTTCTACGTATAGATAATCTATGAACGATAAAGAAGAATGGGGATTACATAACATTTTTAAAATTTACAGAATAAAATCATTAAAATTTAAAAAACTAATAAAATGAAATCCAAAAAAAAAATATATCAATTACTGCGTCTAAATTCTTGGCAGATTTTAAACTTAAATTATCAAATTTCTAAGGAATAGAATTTTGCAACTTTTTTACAGTTATGTTAAAAAATAAAAAAGGCAATTTTAAAATCTTACATTCTTTATGAAGAAACATTTTATGAGTCATAACTAGCACACTTCACCATCCTACAAATGTGTTGCCTATTGTTTCTTCTCAGGGCTCTGTTTAGAAGAAATTTGGGTCTGATAACGGACCTTTCACAAAATATCGACCCTTCACAAATTTGTTTATCTTCATTATTGTTTTGTTAATTGAATAAACCCTTCCTGAGGGGGGGGGGAGAAGGACAGATGTATGAACTAAGTTTTGTCTTCAGCAGACGCTTCTTCCTTTATTCGTCCGAAATGAATATTCTACATTCTACATTCTACATTCTACATCCTACATTATAGGCTAAATTCCAAATATTTCTATGTTGCATCTCTAATTTAGTAGCAGCAATTGCTGTTTATTTTTAAAAATTTAATTTTTTTAATTATAATTTTACAGTGTTGAGCACAATTTTTTATCTATTTACAATTTAAAAACTCCTTGAAAAAGTTTTTTTGCAATAACTGGACCCTATTTGCACAAAAGCAAAATCCTGATTGAAAGAATGTGACTTACCCATTATTTTATATTCACAAATTATGAGTAATTTTTTCTCAATTTTACAAAAACAGGACCTTATACAAAATGTCTGGACAGACCCCTGCTTCTTTTTTTTCACTTGCATGGGTCTCTGTTTTTTCCATTGCTGCTTCAGAAACTTTCTGACCCTTTAAGTCTCAAAAACAATGGGGTGATCTAAAATTGGCAAACCTTGTTAGGTAATAGCACAACTTTTTTGCTTAAACTTCTATTTCGCACATGCATTCCTCCAAAATACAACATGGATTCTCAAATTCATTCTTGTAGAAAATGAGAAAATTTTCTTTGTCTCTTTAGTTTAGTTTCAGGATAGTATTTGCATACTTATTTATAATCTGTACACAAGCCACCTCTGGTTTTAACAAAAGAGATAAGTCATTCTGTAACTAATAAATAATATTCGTTACCTTCGAATATATGATTTAGTATAGTAAGCATATAATTTAGTATAGAGGTATATAATTTAGTATAGAGATTTTTTTATATCAGACCATATTCCTTATTTATGTAAAATCAATAATAACAAACTAGAAAATACAATAAGTTCAACAAAATGTTTTGTTTCAAATGAGAATACTGATATTACACATCTGAGCATTTCTAAATATATTTCACTCATTGTTTATTGCAGAATGTATTTGTTAAATTATAGATTTTTGTTAAAGCACGAATTTTGATAAACTAAAGTGATATTATTTGACACTAATTTACAACATAAAGAATGTTCAGGAGGAAAAATCTTTTTATTTGATTGCATAGGTGTTTTATAACTAAATAATTTAGAGAAATATAGAAACAGGCTTTCGATATTGTTTTCAAAAGATCTATCCAAGCACACAGGGTGATTCAGAACTAATATTCAAAAATTTACGGCTAGGTCAGAAATACGATTAGCAAAATATAAGCAGTGCTGATGTGCTAAGCGTTTATAAATCAAGAGACTTAAGAAAGCTGGACAGGTTACAAATAATGATAATTTATTATTCATTAACAAGTTTATAAAATTTAAGACTGTTTCAAAACATTTGAAGTTCCACTTTTAAGCAGTGATGCATAACTCGAATGACAATACATTGATCACAAGAAAGCAGTTTTAATTTAATTATTAAGCCTTCATTGTGTTTTTGATCATATATTCATGTTACTTGAACAATAGTTCTGGATCACGCGGACTATCAATACATTCATACTTTAACTTTAAAGAGATTCCAAGTATATTTCATTACTTAATCTCATGAGACCAGAGTTTTATATAATGGCAGAAAATTCGATTTTTACTTAAAATTATGTAGTTTAGAAGAAAGTTAATTCATAAATGCAATAAAATATTTTTTAATAAAAAATTCAGTTAATTATTATTTAACTTTTAGTTATATTTAATTTTTAAATAAAATAAATTTTAATTTTTTGCTATTAGGATATTTTTATTGTGCATTTCTTTACACTTTGTTCATCAAACAAAATTTACTGAATTCAAATAATAAGATATTTATATGCCATAAAACTGTCCAAACAAAAGCATGCCCAATTCTTGAGGTCAGTCAAACTTTCCTTTGAAGTTTCTTAATCATGAATCGACAGAATATTTCTTTCGTATTATACATACAAATAAAATCATTCCAAACTCTATGATCAATTGCACAGTGTAGTTAATATAAATCAGTATTGAAAATAAGCCAGAATGTTCCAGTTTAAAATTGTCAGTTAAGAGTAATTAATGCATATCCATCTACAGGGCAAAAATTCGCCATTTGTATATTGCAGTAAATTATTGAATATCATCACTTAGTCAACTGACATTGTGGATAGTGCTAGATGGATAAATGTTAAATTAAGCTTTGAAACAATTTGACCTACTTAGCATTTATATTTTTCCCCTTGAAGGACAACTTTTTATATACTAACTGTGTTACCTTTGTAGTAACTGAAGGTATTTACAATGTAAAATGCTATAACAACTACAAAGCTTTTTTTTTAAATAATAAAAATATATGTTTAGACAAAACATATTTATATTTTAGACTTTCATGCATATTATGTGTTCAAACATGTTATATGTTAGACTTTCATTTTTCCTCATAACAATAAACAAGGAAATCATACAAAATCGGTTCGAAATTAAGAGTAATTTAGCTTAAAAGACAAATAATTGCCTTTATTTTTAGACACATAATATAAACTATGAAAGCCTAAAAATTAAACAACTGAGTTAAGTTTCACCCACATTGGCTTGTAATTGGCATAAAAAGAGACTTCAAATAAAAGTGAGAATTAGTTTTGAAAACAGAAAATTTACATTTTGTTTCCATAAAACATTCTGCACTTTATATATTTGCTTTTATAAAGTATTGGATTTAAACATTTAAAACCTAACAAACATTTATGTAATTGTTTTAAAAATCTTTGTTAAATCAGACAAGAAGATAATAAACATATTAAACACACTTAACCCATATTAGGGTTTAAACACAAGCATATACATCTTATTTACAGAACAAATATTTAAAAATAAACATGTTACACAACAATAAGGTAACAAAAATTATTTGCAGTGAACTAAATATTGCAAACATTTTCACATACCGCTTTTATATTTTAAATTCAATATCAAAAACTATACATAAATAACAATCTTAGATGTCTGGTTATATGCAGGCATTGTATTAAAAAAAATGTAAGAACTTAAGCATAACATAACTAACTATTCCTGTCATAATGTTGTAAAGTTCTTCCTATGAATTAAATAGATGCTAATGCCTTACAAAATTATTACTTCAAAACAAAGATTTACAAAATTAGTTTCGCCTCCTTTACATGAACAGAACCATAAGTTATGCTTACTTAATACAGAGATAAATAATATTTGATGTATTGTCTAGCTATCATGAGATGAGATATCTGTAACACTACTGTCAGTGACGACAGGGGTTCATCTCGTGATTGCCATCAATACCTAGAAAATAAAACTTAGAAATTTCGACTCTTTGTTTATCCCCAGTGTTGTACAATGATTCCCAAACTTTTGTGATGAATGGTATATTTCCTAATTCTCATTTTGGATAAGGCATCCTAAGTTAGCTTCTGTTTGGGTTATATTTGGAAGAAAAACCAAGATCATAAGATCAAACAAAAAAATATATACATTTTGAGGGGCTAAATTTATATTATTAAAAAAAGTGATTTCTAAATTATTTTGTACTAATTTATTACCTTGAATCAAAGGTTTACAAAATAAGTTTCTCCTTTATATTGGCAGAACCATAAGTAATGATTACTTAATAAAGAGATAGTTAATAATTAATGTACTGTACTGTCTAGCTAATTATTTTCTTTGGTAACAATTTTCAAATAATCTTTAATTCAAATCATTATAGTAAATAACATATTAATTAAATTAGCAATGACATAACAGTATCTTTGATTTTAGTATTATAAGTTTTGAAAATTACTGTTATGATGAATTAAGTCTCTACCTGTGTATTGAAGGCATCAGACACTACGTCACAATTAGTAAGTTTTTCAAGGAAACCCATTATATGATTCTTTCACAAGTTTAATTGCACTATTAATACCTTTTCTAACTGACTAAATATGTAGTTTTTAGACTTAGGAAAAGAAACACTTTTTGGGTTTAGCAAAACAAGAAAAATTACTTCGAGAAAAAGAAATAAAACTACAATTTTGTAAAAAAATGGACATGTCATTTACCTCCAACACAGATATCTCTTAAAGAGGAAAAGGAAAGAAATACAATACCTGTTAATATTTTTGTATGTAAAACAGCAAATAAATAGGCTTAATTTAAAAAATAAGCATACAAAATAAAAACATGTTTAAAATAGGTTTCGAAGAAGGACAAATAACATAATAAAAATTATCAAAACATACAAAAAGAAACAATATTCACGAAAATAAATAAATTTTAAATTATAGAAACGAAAAATATAATCGTATACTATATATCTTTACAAAAGTAATGATAAACAAGAGATTCAAATATTGAAAAAAGTGTGATACTTCTCAGATCTAGATTCATTATAAATGTTTTGAGTATTCAAAAGCACTCTAATTGCCTGCTATGAACCACATGAATTTCTAGGTGGATTACTGCTTAGATTTAAGTGAGATTCATCAGATGAATTGAGTTCTTCAATAATGGCTAATGGTGCCCTTTGCAACTAGGAAGTCAAATGGAAAGAAATTAAAAAACATTGCATATCACAGAGTTTTTTTTTTTTTTTTAATTATTGCATTAAAAGTTTATGAATATGCCTTTACACAAGACTAAAAATAAAGTTTTTGTATATTAATTTGAATTAAACAATCATTCAACTGTTTCAATCAGTTAGCATAATGCTAAAATCAAATGTATAGCAAAATTGTGTAGATATACAGAGTAGTTATAATTAAAGTTATCATGTTAAGACCAACGTAGAGCCCATACTGTTTAGACAGAGAACTGTAAATGAAATTGCTATATACAATATAAGGACTACAAGGAAAAGAAACTGTAGGAAAAAAAATTAATTCCATTTTTCGACCAATAGATGGTATCCATCTCTGCTATTTATTGAATATGCTTTAAAAATGTATTTGTTGCAAGCATAATTTTACATTTCTATTTTATGTTTTTTGTTCCTCGTACACCTCTATACACCTGATGGTCAAAATTTGAACAATTTTTTTTTTCTAAATCAGATTTCTTTTCTTATTGTTATTATGCCACTATCAATGATGGAATTTAATTACTACATACAATGCCAAGCAGTTTTAGGTAAATTATGAGAATTATTGTATACTTTACTATGGAATTGTATACAATGTTAATTGCTCTTTAGTCAAAGTATGAAATATGAGAATCACAGAAAAAGTGATTTTTTTTCTAGCTTTCTTTTTTTAAACAAATATTAGTGAGTTAAAAAACAAAGAAAAATAAAATTTTCTTTATTCAATAAAACCATTTATAATGAAACTTTAATTTTACATTTTTTAATTAGCGGGGATATGTGATGACAAGCACGGCTTTTTACCTGGAGAAAAAAAAACAGAGTAGAGAATAGTGGGCATTAGCCTATATGCCCTTGCAGATACTAATACTAATAAACCATAATTCAAAGTAAAAAATACTCATATATCATACTTTGCTTAGTTGTTATTTTCATTCAGCATTGTATACAATGCTTAATTTATTATTTTGTCTGTTTGTTGTTTGGTTTTGTTTACAATGCAGGATTTCTTACTTTACTATTAGCATGTATATCAAATTTCATAGACATCTGTTTACCAGAACAGAATATGTAGATCAGAATAGTGCAACTTGAATTATTACCCTCCCTGCATCATAAAAATATCCTTCATTGGAGTAATGTCAATTCAACAATAGATATGTAATATTTCTTGTAAAGGAATTCAAAAACCAAAGAAGAAGAAAAAACATATACACAGGAATATAAAATAAAAGGCAATATTCTCTTCATTGCATGACAAATAAAAGGAAAATTTATTAATTACATGACAAATAATGAGTAATCTAAATGCAGAATTTGATAGTTTTATTTATCTCTGTAAAAGGAAACTTGAATATATCATTGATATTGCGTTTGAAGAAATTTGGTTTCCAAAATTTAACAAATATTGTAAACAGAAAAAATTATTACCTTTCATATTGTGTTAATCCTAAAGAAAGACATGTAAAATATAAAACAATGCCTTAGATATTAAGATATTTAAATTTGATGAAGTTCAAACTACAACATAGAAATGCTACCAAAGAAGCGTTAAGGAATTTGAAGGATATAATAAATTGGTCAATTTTAAGTAATCAAGCTACTATTAATTTTTAATTGTTTCTACATGGTTTTGTGATAGATAATTATAAGAATTAAACCAATGAGTTTTATAATTAATTTTTAAATAAATGAATAAAATGATGAAAAAACTTCTTTTAACTTTTTGCTCATGGTGCACAGCAAACTTAAACCTTTTTTTCTGGTTTAGAAGAGCAAAACAAAAAAGCATTTGCTTAAATAAATTTTGTTCCAATAAACGCTTATTCATGCACTAAGTAATAATCTTAATAGTTCAGAGGGTTGCACAAAATATGCCAAATAACTAATTGTATCTTATATTTAAGTTATGAAATAAGGCACAAAAACATACTTTCTCTATATAAACACACTCTTACTCTACAGATTTAGATTTTTAACCTTATCTTCAAAACATGAAAAAAGGGTGACCACAATCCAAAAATGTGGTCTTAATAGCTTAGCCAGTACAGCAAGTAAAAGTTAGGTACCCTTAATGTTAATAATATGATTGAATATAACTTTAAAAGTACATCTGTAAAGCAAAACTTTAAAGGAAAAAAAGAATAAAAAATTATTTTCATTTTAATCACAACAGATGTCTCAAATGTACATTTGTACAAAATTGTTCTAAAGTCTTATGATATAAATAAATTATTGAATGTTAAGTATAATTATTCTAGTGCCAGATGAACACTTTATGAATTTGTGTCTCATTTAGATTTAAATTGTTTATTCATATTAAAAAAAGGCAACAAAGAAAATATATTAGAATGAGTCTAAAATTAATTGACAAGAAAAGTTCTTTTCAAAGTGATAATAAATTAATCAAACAGTAATTTAATATGTGCGTCGAATGCAAATTGATAAAGCCATTATACTGTTTATTTATTGAATTCAGAAACAATTTTCTAGAATACTCAAATATGCAAAACCTATTTAGAAGAAAAATTAATTTGAAAGGTAAAGGGCACTTATCATATGGTGAAAACAATAACATTTCTAGCAGCTGTTATTAATGGTATATACACTGATTATTCACTACTTATTCAATATACTTTTCTATTTAAATCAAGATATATATATCTATTTAAATAATTGGTATATTTCCAATATATTTCCATTTAAATAAAATATATTTCTATTTAAATAAAATTATACTATGATAACTTTTTTCATTGAATTTTAGGGCATATCTTATTAAAATTATAAGAAAAACTACTGGCCTTGCATATGATACGCAATAAAACTTCTAAAGAATTAATTTCAAGGGAGGATAAATAATTTTAAAGTGCTCACTTTAATCAATCTTTTGTAAAAATAATATCTTGGTTTTGTACATTATTTTTCTGCCATGCGTCTAAACACTAAATTGCGTTTCCTAAAAATCTTTCACAAAGTAAATAACTTATCTATTACTGCCATGTGTTAAGAATATTATCAAGTAACCATCCTATTTAATATTTATACTATTATTTTTATTTGTAAACATATAGACATGATTAAGAAAAAATTTGGTGTTCCAAGGTTCAGTTTACATCATGAATGTTCAAAATTGGTCTTTTTGTATGAAAAAAATATTTTTTAAAAGCTTATGCAATAGTTTATGTTAATTCCTGCAGCTAGACAGAATTATTTATTTACTCTAAAACTTTTACTCTAAATTAAATGTAAACTTAATTTCAGAGCTTAAAGTTTAAATCTGTTTTATGCTCTAACCTTTTGAGAACTGTGTTTAACTGAGCTATTTGGTAGTTAGTGGTGTTTCATTATTTTATTAAATGGAGTTTATTCTAAAACCTATACTGTGAATTAAATTTAAACTCTGCAAAATTAATGTCTAAATCTGTATTATGTTCTCACCTTTTGAGAACTGCCCTTAACTGAGCTATTTGATGGTTAGTTGTTTTTCATTATTTTATTAATTTAAACTTGTATAATTCTATTCAAATTCATAGATTTTAAGTACTAAACTGCAAAATAGATATGAAATTCTTAGCTTAAGTGCTAAGAATACTATATGCACCCATCATAGAAACTACTCTAAAAAAGGACTAAAAACTAACATTAAAAGCCAGTTTTGTATGTTTGAAACTTAATTAATTCACAAATTTTCAAGACAATTCCATAAACTGCATCAGGAGGACTAAAAACCGTATATATTCAACAGATAAACACCAATTTTGCTTCTTTCGAACTAAATTCAAAAATCAGTAAATTTTTAAAATTCGAGAAAATTTTTTAGGGCTAAAAAATAAAAATTAAAAGATGAAAAGTAGATACTTAAGTCAGAAAACTGGACAGCGCTAAACTTTCTACAAAACTTTGCAAAATACAATGTTAAATTAGGAAAATGAATACATAATTTATATGCTATATACCTGCTGTTGCGAGACAGTTTCACTTGAGCCACCATTTTGATTTTGTAGCTCTCGATTTCTGTTACTTAAATTTTCTGAAAAGTATTGAACAGTTTTCATAAGTTCTTTTGCAAAGTTTATTTCTCCGTAAGTTATAGGTTTTAATACGTATGAATCATACCTGCATCAGTTGTATCATTTTGATCATTATTTCTTAAACTTGATGTATTTGACAAACGTCTAAAAAATAAATATTAGCCATGCTGTATTAGATAACTATTATTTCAATTTTTAGAATATAAAATGTGTAGTGCTATAATCAACTATATATAAAATAAAATAGTTAAACTAAATATATAGAAGCATGTAATAGAATAAGTAAATATATTCAGACTGTAACAGATAAAAATATTGAATGTACAATTTAAGAACAAGAGCCAGAATCAGCGAAAATTCGCTAAACTTAAATGGTATTAAAAACTTACAGTCAAAAAATCAAACATATTCTATAATGTTTGAAAAAAATGAAAAATTTGAAAAATAACTGAAGTACCTATACCTAAAGTTGTGTTGTGTTTACTGTAAAAGGTAAAACCATACAGGATATAATGAATAGAACTTTTAAAATATTTGGATAAGTCTAATGAGGTAGTATGTACTCATTAGTTTTAAGAAAATATATTGACAAAATGAAAAAGATGTTCTTTCTTAGTTGTTTAAGCAGAAAGCAGTAATTTTTGGAGAGAAAATTTTGATTTTACATCATAAATCTAACTATAAGCATTGTTGTGATATATATTGCAATAAGTTTATTTTTCAATTGTATTAGTAGAGTAATTCAATTTATATTAATAGACTATGTTAGTATTAAAGAAATAGCTTTTAAGTAGTATAATTCCTGCAGTCATTTTTAACATATTTTCTACACAAAATAGCTAGTCAACATTATAATGTAAAATAACAAAAGAATATAAACTTTAATTATCTTTAAAACAAAAATTTATAAAAAGTTTATTTTTACCTAGCTTGTTCTACATTGCCATAACTATTCACTTCACTTGATGGTTCGATATTATTTGTATTATTAGTATTGTTATGATAACTGAAAAGAAATTTAAAGAAAATAAGGGAAATGTTCACATTAATAATTAATTGTTTCAAAAATATATTAAAAAAACTACTAAGTTGTGCAAATAAAAAAGAAGTTTAAACCAATTTTACATTTCTATATTATTTCTACTTGTAGAAAACACATACAGACCAGAGGTTTTGCATCAATTTTAACCTTTTGAGTAGTAGTTCCGCTTTTTTTTTTTGAACGCTAAGCAAAACATACATAATAATGTAAAAAATTTACTTACAAAGAGGGCCTAAAATGAAGGAGGGCAAAATGAACATGCTTCTAGCACTCAAAAATAGGGGCCAGTTCTCAAACACTCGCCAGACATAAAAGAGAAAAACTAAACAGGAAATGAAAAGTTGACAATGAAAAACAAAGTAAGGAGAGAAAAACTAGAAAAACATCATTCCCATCAGACCAGTCTTGAGAATGAGTGCCTTTTTTTGAGCACTTGAACATAAATAATTTTTTAAGTAAAGTTCTTACAGTATCAAGTATGTTTTCCACTTCAATTTCTTGGGATTATTAAGATTATTTATAGGTCATTCTATTTCTATCAATTTCATCCAATTTTGGGCAGAGTGATAATGCTTAAAAGGTTAAAGTTTCAAGAGTTTTTTGCCTTAATCTAAATGCAGTTTAATACATAAGCAAATAAGCAATTCATTTTAGAACTTGAAATTCTATAACAATAGATTTTTTGATAAAATCAGTGAGTAATCATAACTGACATATAACAAATTACACATTTTGAAAACTTCTAGCTTGGCTTTCTAGGTATCTTTTAAAATTTTTAATATTTAAAACATTTATAACATTTTCAACAGTCAAAAGATCTATTAACATTTTTAATAATCAAAACATCTACTAACATTTTTAATATTCAAAACATCTACTAACATTTTCAATACATAAAACATCTTTTAACATTCTCAATGTTTATAACATCTATCAACATTTTCAATAGTTAAAACATCTGTTGACATTTGCATTACTCAAAGTAGTTATCAACATTTTCAACTATCAAACACACTAAACATAAATGTTTTCCAAAGAGTATAAAATCCGGAATATTATTTTAATCAGCACATCTACTCATATTAACCATATAGACTAAAGATAACAAAGATCAATTCAAGATATTATGCTTAAACAGCATTTTCATGAAAAGGATCACAATGGAGAATTATAAATAATTTTTTCAAAATAAAATACAACTCTGGAAAGAATGTAATTAGAAAGGAAAAAAGTTTTACCTTTGAGGTGCTATGTTCTGCATTTCCAAAACAATGCTCTCTAGAGGTCTAAAGGGTTTTCTGGCACCTTCTGGAAGTTCAATTTTACAAACTGGTTTTGCAATGATTGAAGCAGAAAGGGAAACTATTTCAAACTCAGACATAGAATTCAAACATACTAGTAGACCGCTATTCAATAGGTATGCCTTGTGTAAATATCTAAAATAAATATATTGTTGCTACAAACTTAAAATGTCAATGGTGATAAGAAATCTATAAAATTTATTAATAATATGCCTAAGTTTTTTTATTAAGATAATTCATATCACAGTAATAAAAAATACAAATAATAAAACAGAACTATAATTATTTAGGAAAAAAGTTTAAGTAAAGCTATTTATAATAAGATTTAAAATTAGTACAATTTTAAAAAATTGAAATGCAAATTTGTGACAAAAATAGATACGGTGTTGATTATGAGTAATTGTAAACATTAACAATATAGAATTTCTTCATTTTTAACTTTGATACACTGCTTATGAACTGAATCAGAGCTTTTAATTTTGTGATAAATCATCAGGAGTCATTATCCTATTTGATATTTATCACTGCTCATAACCATCATATTCATGATATATCCCGAGAATATATTTTTTTAAATTGTTACTGTTATAAATTTTAAAAAATTCAATATTTTATAATACATCAATACAATTTATCACTCAGCTCTTATCCAGATTATAACAATTACTGTACATCCTGGTGTATAAGTTGACCCATTGTATAAGTTGATCTGGTGTATAAGTTGATTCCCCATTTTTGATTATAGATAGCAAATTTCTGGTATGTTGTAGGTGCAAATCGACCACTGAATAAACCAACTAGGAAAATTTCGAAAATTAGAAAACCTTTAGATCATCTAAGAACGAATCTGTTGATGGAAAGAGACAAAACTCAGACGAAATCAAAAATTACTTGCTCTGCTCCAATAGACCCCATGTGTCAAATGATAGTAGGCATGTGGCAAGTAGTAGTAAGCATGCAAATTCAAATGTTATTGTGACATCTTTGAAAAAGTGGACAATTTTGAATTATTTGGATAGGGACGAAGAAAAATTTTTATGGGACTCAACGGGTGAGGATAAAGTTGAATCCACTGCAGACTGGAATCTGTATAAGCACACTGCTAACATTACTGAATCTGACACAGATGATGTTCTGGAAATTTTACATTTGTAGCTTTTATAATATGCTTTAAAAGTTTTAATTATATGTTATTTTATAATACTTTTCCAATTTTTATTTTTTTTTTCAAATCGTAAATTAAAGAAGTATTGCTTTTATATTTTTTAAAAAAAACTTTTATATGTTAAGAAAATATGATAAGTGAAAATTAAAAATTGTGCATAACAGTATAAAATAAATTTTTAAAGGGATCAATTTATGCAGGGAAATTTATATCTATTTCATTGTTTATAATGTAGCAATTATTAAAAATCAATGAATGTCCCACTTCTTGACTTGAAAAGTTGACTAACATACCAGGATGTACGGCAAGTCATTGGATTTTACTTACAAACTTAATCTTTAATTATCAGCTCAACAATGATTTCTTTTTACCAAAATTAATACTTAATTATAAATTACATTCGTAACATATATTATAAGCTTAACTTCATTTTTATAAATAATAACCAAGCATTATGCTTAGCATAACATATATTTATATAAGTCATTGACAAAATAAAAAATTTACAAGTAGTTTAATATAAATGAAATTTTAAAAAACTAAAAGAACACTGAAGCTTATAGGCAAATGCTTACTCGTTGTCTTCTAAGGAACAGTAATTGAAGGAAATAAATTTTTTTAACTCGGGAGTACTGTACAATGTTATCCCACTGGATCGTGAAAGAGTAAGAACACAACACTCATATGTTTTTGGATCTGAAAGATAAAATAAACAGTAAAATGTACATTTAACTTTTTAAAATCAAAGCTATCAAAATCAGCTTTTTTTTATTCCATAATTAACTTCTGACACAACACTCATATGTTTTTGGATCTGAAAGATAAAATAAACAGTAAAATGTACATTTAACTTTTTAAAATCAAAGCTATCAAAATCAGCTTTTTTTTATTCCATAATTAACTTCTGAAATGATGTTAAGTTTTTCTTAAATAGAAAATTTTTTACATTTCTAACCACTCATTTTGTTTAAGAATAAAAATAAAATGTGTGCAAACATTGTAAATAGCAAAAAGTCCTCCTTCTCAAGGAAGTTGCATATGGTTCAAGTAATTTATAGAAACTTGTTTACTTTCCCCCTTTAAATTCTTAGAACAACTCTACCACCCTTATTTTCCTCTAACTATGGTCAGTTCTTATCTCATCAATCTGATAAGCCCTTTCTGAAATAGAAATCCCTCCTTTGAAAAGCATGTGCATTTTTACTTCATAGGCATGAATGAGTTGATGTAAGTTTCTAATCTTTTCAGGATGGTCCCTTCCAAGTGATTAGTCCTTTATTTAAAAAAAACAACCCTTTTCATGTTTGAAACTTATCATTTAGAAGGGTAAAAGTATTTGAATTCTAAGAAGGTTGCATACTTTTGGAGAAAACATTCGATTCAGAGAGAAAACGATTACTCTTGATTATGAGAGAAAAAGAATTGCTCCTAGTTTTCACTTTGGTTAATAAATAGTCTATTTTGTAATATTAGTATTTTTAATACATTGTTTCCAAGGAAATTCATTAAGGAAAATATAGATTACTTTGAAATTTTTGAGTTTCTATAAAATTGTATTTGATTTTCTCTGGATTTGACTGTTAGTACTTAAATCATTATCCATTATACATGAGAGCAAAAAACCAGCGATGGAATATATATTATTATTAACCAAATAATTTCACATGAAATTAATAACAAACAAGTATATAGCATGTTTTATAATTTAATATCATACAAAGCAGAGTAAAAAAATATCAATATGACGGAAAATTAAGTAATTATTTGAATTGAATACATAAAAAGAGAATAACTGATTCTCACCAGTTCGATTAGGAAAACTACAGAATCCAACTTTACATATATGGTAGCCCTCTATCATGGAAATTTTATTCTTACAAAACGTTTTCATGCTTGGTAAAGTGAAAACCTAAAGTTCAAAAGATCAAAATAAAGTTCTAGAACCAATAACAAATATAAAAATTTTCTACATTAAGCAGTAAAAATTTATCAGACATTTTAAGACATGCATTTTTAAATTCTTTCCACCAAATAATTTAATATAATATTTTAACAATCAAACTAAAAATTGACTTTTATCTTGTTATTTTTCCTTGTAAAAGATAACAGTAGCATATAAACAGAAATTGATTTAAGAGATTTGTTTTTTGACTTTTAATTCTAAAATATTGATTTTAAATATAAAGTTTAAAAAACTTAATAATTTTTTCATGTATAAAAATTATACAAAATTATTGAGTTATACAATTTGTTATATTATTGTTGACTTATACAATTATGTAAAATTGTTGACAAATTGTTCAAAAACAAGAACTTTTTAAATTAACTTATTACAGAATATTTGGCAATTGAATAAAGTTTATGTTTGAATAAGGCTCATATATATTAAAGATACTAAAAATTTCTAAACATGTTTACGGCCCACACAAGGTTTTTTTCGCATTTTTATTATTATTATGTCTTATTGTAACGAAATTTAAGTCAAACATTTAGAAATAAAAGTAAAAAATTCAAAAAATAGCAATTTATAATACAACAAGACAAAGTATAAATATCAATTTTTCAAAAGCAATTTTAAAACAAAATGGCACTAGCTATTTTTCGATACAAAATTTCTTTCTGAAAGATGCACAAACAAACCAAAATAACAGTTTTTAAATTAGAATGAGGAAAAAAAATTATTATCGATAATGTATGTAAATAGCAGCAGTACATAAGATTTTTTTGATATTTCACAAGGATGACGAATGTTTTTAAAATAATTCTAAAATAAATCTCCAGAATATTGATTTTTAAAAAAAATGCAATAATTCAGTGTAAAGGATGTAAATTGAAATATACAGTTTAAATTTAAAATCAATTGTAACGATTTGTTTGAGTTAGGAGTTCAATTAATTTGTGAAATATAGCTTACAGAAAAAGCCGTTTAAATACTCTGGATAGGACCATGAGGAGCTTTTCAAAAGCTGAAACTTTCTTTTACGTTTTGCAGCAATGAATATAACTAAATAAATAATCTTTAGAAACTGAAGTGGTAAGACATTACCTGATAGAAAATTTCATATGCTTCAAAAATATACAAAATTGAAATGACAGTCGACGTGTTTCAGGCGCATCAACAGGTTTTTCTTGTTTTTGCTTCTTAGCTTTATATTCGTTGGCAACTTTAAGTTTTTTTTTTCATATCATTTTTGTTTCATTACATTCACGTTTGACAAGTCTTGAAAATGGGCGTCTATTTCTGATGAGCTTGAAACATGTTGCCTGCCATTTCAATTTTGCACATTTTTAAAGTGTATGAAGTTTTCTATCAGGTAATGAATGTCATTTTTGAAACACTTTCTCATATAGCAATGAGTATTCTGCCATGCAATAGAAAATCACCATAAGTGAGTGAGAATTTTTTACATATTAGGCACTTTGATATTGCAAGTTGCAAAAACAATTTTTTTTTATTTATTATCTTAAATTGTATTTCAGCATTGATAATATTAACAAATAAAAGGAAACTGTTTTTAAGCTACTTTCTTGAAATCTATTGTATATAAATCTATTGTACAGCAGTAAATTTGAAAAAGTTTCAAATAGAACAAATAGAAAAGAATATTGAAACTGAACTCACTTTAATTTGCTCTTCTGTACAAACTACAACCCTATGACTTCCACAAAGATCAGCTGGTTTTAATCTTTGACACTGAACATCAAGTGGATCAGGTAGTGGATATCCTCTATGATCAACAATGTGTATACCCAAAATTGGAGCTTGATGTTTTAACTGTACTTCTTTACCTGCAAAAATAACACTTGTAAGAACAAAATACATTTACAATCAAAAACAGAATCACATGATGTCCTAATTAAAATTATTAAGTGATGTCCTAATTTGTAAAAAAAACTTAGGAACTTAGGAAAAACTTAATATTGCCAACCTATCAATATTGATCGAAAAAAAATTTAAAAAATTATTTTATTTTGGCAAACAATTTTTTAATAGTTTTTAATATAATTTTTTTAACTTTAATTTAAAAAAAAGATGAAGAATTTTTAAAAAAATAAAAATTAGCTATAATTTAGGAGTTGTTCTAAATTTGGCAGCAATTCTTCAGAAAATTTTTTATAAGGAAATAAAAATGTAGGAATAAAATAATAGGAAATAAAAATGCAAAATGAGCCAAACATGAGGAAACAAGAAAATTTTTATGCAAACCATAATAAAATTATTTTAAATATGTATAGACAAACCTGTTTGATGTGTTTTACAATAGCGTATGCATTCTATAATATCTATAAAAAATTACAAAGTGAAACTGCTTCATAACGTTAAGTCAATATAATTTTCAAACAGAACAATTTTAAATACGAACATAAATTATGCAATATGACTAATAGAAGAGAATGAATGCTCATTCAGATAAAAGAATTTTTGGTGAAACTATTGCCCGAATATATTTCTTAAATTATTACAGAGCTTGTTACGTTGACACCATTGTGAAAGAATTAAAAAGTTAAAATTTCCCATCTAAATAGAATTTTGTAATTTAGCATGAAGTTATAATTAAACTGAAAGAATTAAAATGTTTGTAATTTTAACTAAACTGTATTAATATAAATACATTTCAAAAAACATATTTCTTGATATAATTTATTTGATAGCATATCATAGCATAAAAATAATAGATTAATAAAACATATTTTTAAAATAAGAAAAAATTGCAACATAAAACTGAAGAGGCCATTAATTTAATATGGGAAATCTAAAAAAAAGCATTTTAAACATTTGTATATAAAAACTTCCGTTAAATTTATTTTCATTAAAATTGCAAATGAACATTAATGAAATAATAAAACTTTTATTTCAAAAAAAAAAAAAATTCACTATTTCATAATAAAATTAAAATAACTTTTACCTAACTGGCATGTGATTGCATCAGACGTACGACAGTCACTGGCAGGCATTGTAATTGTATATATATAAATGCAGCCACAACTTGTACCAACCCATAAAGTAGGAGTAGTAATCACATCTAAGGAAGAAAATTATTTTAGTTTAAAAGATTACAAAACATACTCAAATAGTAAAAATATATGTAAGATTTGGTTATAAAGCTGTAATAAATAACAATGATTTAAAAATATAAATAATTATAATAATAATATGAATCATCGAAACTTATTTGATTGTAAAATTCTATGGAAAAAGCATGATAACTAACTAATGACTATTAAAAATCTATGTAGTGATTATTACTTAATGGGTGAATTTCTTTGACTAATTTCAAATTCAAAAAAAAAAAAAAAAAAAAAAAAAAAAAAAAAAAAAAAAAAAAAAAACTATAAGCTTTTTACTGATAATACAAACCAATTATAAAATTAGCTGATAATACAAACCAAGCTGATAATACAAACTTGAGCTGATAATACTTGAGCTGATAATACAAACCAATTATAAAATTATAAAATATAATTAATTGGAGAATAAACTGCAATGACATTACAGTTTTTAATAGCTTTACAAAGTTTAAATGATTATGTACACTTATTATATAAACCTAATTATCTACACCTTACAATTATATCAAAAAGGAAATACTTTTAAACATTTTGATCCAACAAAAAATTTTTAGCTATGAATGTTTTATGTATTTTGAATTAAGTTCAACAAATCATTAAAAGGTTCAGCATTAGAAAAAAAAGCAAAAAATAAAATCAAAATAATTAAAAAGGTAAATGAAAAAAACCATGATCTATTAATTTTAACTGAACCAAAATATTAAGTAGAACCCCTATGATCTACATAATGATTTCAATGTGTTTACAAAAAATAAAATAATTTATGTAATAAATAACTATGTTAATTACTATGTACTTGATTTTTAATGTTAAAAAGTGCTTAATCTTATAATATAAAATAGATTCTAGGCTAAATTATTTATAAAATATTTGCATAAACTTACTGTTAATAATAAAACTTTGTGCAAAATATAAACATTGAACGGAATTGATCACATCATCAACATGAGATTCACTATCCCCATCAAAGGCACGGAGTTCAGCTGAAGTGGAACTGGCTAAAGTTGGATCAGGACTGGCAGTGAAACTTTCTCGCTTCATGCTGTTTTCCCTCGAACTGGAATATAATTCAGGTTATACATATAAGTATTGGCGAATGATTTTTTCCACTGGAAAGACAACTATTAAATAATTAATTCGATCTGCAAAATTATCAAAATGAATTTTGCTAAACAAATCAGTATTTTTTTCATTCTATTACAGTAATTTTCAGTAGATGTCCCCCCCATAACCAATTAGAAATGGGTCCAAATAATATAAGATTGAAACAAACAACTGCAAAATAGTTTCCTATGGCAAAAAAATTTTAAAGATTTGCATCTGGTGAAGGCTTTCAAAAATTGACGAATATTTTTGATATTTGGCTAATAATTTGAAATCCTTAGCGTGGGCCTATATATATATACATAGCAAAATAAATAAACACAAAAAAACACAAAGAAAATTTAATTTCATTTATTGCCCATAAGCTGCAAGTAAATAGAACTCATGAAATAAGTTCAAAATGAAGAAAAAAAAGGAAGGAAAAAAATTTTTTAAAAATCCGGAAAATAAAAGGAAGGGAAAAAAAAATTTTAAAATCCGGAAAATGAAAGATATAATTTTTTCATCACTACACATGATTATATCCGCAAAAAAGAGTGCATTCCAATATTGTATCAACATAGCCAAAGAAAAATTATGTGAACAGATGACATGAAAGACTAATTTATTATTGAAACTAACTGCAAAATAAACTTACATATCTTCAGGTATATCACTGCATAAAGAGTCTGTACGCTCTTTTTTCAGAGATTTACTCCTGATTTTCAGCTTCCGAAATGATTCTCTAAATGACCTTTTTAAAGATTTAGCTTTTGGAGAGACATTTGCTATCACATTATTGCTATCTAAAATTCAAATAAAATTAATTTGATATAATGTACATAAACATGCTAATGATATACATCAATTCTTCTAATTATTTTATATTCAATCTATAATTATGTAAAAAATATCGAAATAACTGACCCATAGTTCAATCTTGTAAAATTAAGTTTAAATACTTTAGTAACTTACCAGATAAAATTTTTAAATATTTTTAGAAACTTAATATCTATTTATTTTTCAAAAACAGTAAAGATAATTTTTTTAACATTTCATTTTTAATATTAAAACATTACTATCAATTGATTTAAATTACGACTTGATTTTAGAAAAACAATATTTTTATTTTCCAGAAAAAATCAACTTTTATTATACTTCATTAAAGGGACTTAATGACCTTATAATGACCTAATGAAATATATATATGTATGTATTTCAATAAAGAAACAGAAAATCGCGTTTGATGAAGTTGCTTGCATTCAAGAGATATGTAAAAAATGCAGTAAATCTATAAAATAATAAATAGAAGAAATTTTAAGGCAAATATTTGCTTTGCAATAAACGAGCACTACTATCAATGAAAACACTAAACATGCAGAGAGAAACCTTAAGAGAAAAACATGCATAAATAATATAAATCCAAATGCTGCATAATATTACATTTAAAATAAAAATATAGATTCAAATCGCCCAAAAATAAAAACTACGTGATAAAAAATTAACTCACAAAATTTTAAAATTCTGTTAACATTTTCAATAATTATATTCATAAGCAACTCAGGAAAAGTCTTTGATATACTTTATTTAAAAGCTCTTTTATAATTTTAATAAACCTTTTAATTACTTTTTTGTTTAATTAAAAATTCTTACATAATTATATAGTAAAATTTTACATACATATTTATATAAAATTAGATATATATATACATTTATATTTTTGTATGAAATGAAATCTCCATAACCTATCTTAAAGTACAACAGATTTAATATTTTTATAAGGTTGTTAAATTAAATAAATATAGAAGAAAATCATTTTAATAAGAAAAAATTCGAAAAATTACCTGAAATGTTTAAAGTATACCTTGATAAAACAGATTTCTTTTGTACTATGTCATACAGAAGAAACCCATGTGTAATGCCAGCAGCTAATCTAAGTAATAAAACACAACTTTGATTAAATTTTCAGGATTACATGAATATATCAAGATTATATAAATATATCAAAAGAATTAATTAAAGATTATATTATAAAACTATTTTCGTATTTGTTCATATTCATAATAATTTTTTTATTACAATTATAAATGAAAAATATTAATTTCCAGCGAAATCAAACTAAACTATCTCAATTTGTTTATTGTTTTTAACTGAATTATGTTGCAATTTTTTAATGACATTTTATCAATAACATAAATTAATTTTATTTCAATAGTTGCAAAATGTAAACTTAGACAGGAATGCACAAATTCACTCAAAAATTCCTTTCATATTTATTTCCTTTTAAAAGCCATTTATGGTTTAAATTGCAATGAAATTTTTGAGAAAATGAACATTTTTGTTTTACATCCTCTTAAAAATCTCTAAACCAATAAAATAATAAATAAAATCACTAAAGCAATTCACATATTTAGAGTTACCAGTAACTATCAACTCTCTGTGTTATTACATTTCTTATATTTAAAGCAGCAATAAATTTTATGATATTCATTTTAATAATTAGATTTTTAATTTTATAATGATCTTAATCACCACTGCATATAAATAATTCAATTATACATAAATAAATTTAGTAAAACTAGAGTATGTTTAAGGCTTATTAAATTTAAATAATTACATTTACCTATAGTTGTATTTCACGTATCCTTTCACTATAATTTAGGATGTTCATCTTTGGTACATCCAGGTGTACATACTCACGTTACAAAAAATTTTAATATAACTTTATTTTGGAGACAGTTATTTTATAATGCTAAACAGTTAATAAAACTAAAAGCTTTATTAAAAAAATACAACGTATTTACGAACCAAAAATTTGCTAAAAATGTGACAAAAAAATAGATAAAAGGTAACATCAGATAAATTATGAAAATATACATACAAATTCCACTCTGCATGAAATGCTATGGATGTAACAGGAGCAGGAGGATTCAATTGAACAACACACTGGACATGAAAACCTTTGTCAAATTTCCTTTTACCATGTCGAACAATTAATGGTTGCGGATTACACCATATGTTACTATCGCATTTGTCACCAATTGTAACTCGTGTAACCTGCAAAGAAATTAAATCATAAAACTTGATGCGAAAGAACAAGATAGCATAAGCTACCAATGTAGAACAAAATTAAAGATCACCAACAACCTACTAAACCTAAACAAAGGTGATTAAAAATTTGTTTGCTAATAACAACATTATATCCACTTTTTTGCTGAAAATGCAGCCTATGTGCTCTAAAACATGCGTTTTCAACTTTGTATATTAATATTCATTACACAGGAAATCTGTAATCATATACTTGGAACGTTTAGATGACAGATCAAGTCAATTTTATATATTTTTCTTAATATCTGCCAACAATATTTACAAATAATTCAATTAATAAAACTTCATCATTATGATTACAATTACTTTAAATTGATTTTCTAATTTCTGGTGAATAATACATGAAAGAAATCTAAGAATTATTACTTCCTCATAATGATTACAGTTATTTCAGATTTATTTTGCAACATATAAATTTTATGTTGCTAATAAACAGAAAATTTTTGTTGCATTATCGGTTAAAAATCTCGAACCCTAAATTTTATAAATTGAAAACATGACATAAAATTAAATAGCTATAAACAAAGTATAATAATTAGCTATAATGTAAGTATAATTAATATAATAATATTGATATAATATTAATATATATTAATATAATTAACATAAACCAACTTAGAGAGGCCAGGAATGTTTTTCCTTATTTTAGAAATGAACCCTGTAGTGTTTATCATATTTTGAGAAATGCTTCAAATAATTTCGATAGTTTCTTTAATAATTTAAAATTTTTAATTTTTGAAAAAGTGACATACTCATGGAAAGTAACAAAAAGTCTTAATTTTGCCCTACAATTCCAATAGTTAGTGGAAGATCTTAAATGTAAACTTTGAAAATAAATAATAAACATTAAAAAAAAGAGAGAAAATATTTACAATTGTTTCCTTCTCTGCTTCAACATCTGAGAATTGAAGTACAAAGATTTGTCCAGCAGATCCTCCTGCAACAAGCGTTTTGCACACATCATTCAAAATGATGCTGCGAATTGCAAAACGTGAATCATCCAAAAGAGAATCAAAATTTCCAAGCTTAAAACAAAGAGAGAGATAGTAAACATAATATATTGAAAACTACAAATTGAACAGATAATTATTGTAAAAAAAAAGATGAAAGAAATCAAATGACAAAAAATATGCACTATTTTATAATTGTTTAGAAATATAATTATGTACTTATAAATTATCTTGTTATCTAACATGACATTTTATTATGACATAGTGTTCAAAAGACCAATTTAATGACTAGCTTTCATTAAAAATAAAAAAGAGACTGAATGAAATAATTTATAACTTTTTTTTAATGAAATTGAAGAATCGATAGCAATTTTGAAGGGAAATTAATTATTTTCTCATAATTTATTACATTCATAATTTAACACATTATACATCGTTACTTAATGCATTATTGCATTATTATTACACATTTTAAACACAGGCTACCTCTCAACCACCGGGTTTCCATCACCAAATTACAGACAAGATAAATCCCTAACTAATAAACACAGATAAAACGTAATTTGAACACCAAAATTCTTATAATATTTATTTTACAAAAAAAACACTGCTAGGAAGTGCATGATGCATAAAAAAAGGGATCACAAATCATTTTGACCTTAATAAGATTGTTTTTAATTCACTTGAAATTTTAAGAGCTATTTCACACTAAGTAAAGAGTGAAAAAAATATTAAAGTTGCCAACATTTTTATCATTCTTCTCAATAAACTATTATAACAGCATTTTCCAGAGTCCAGCTGCCACCCTTTTTTCTATTAATGAAAATCTAAGTCCAACAAAATAAAATTGTTTATTCAGAGAAAGTATGCTTTTGTGTCTGATTAAGCAAATTAAAATAATCTCTTCACAAATTAAATTTAATTCCTAAAATCATTAAAAGTACAACTTAATGTGTGAAAATTAGATCATTAGACCAGTTTAGTTATGTCGTCTTTTGCTCTAATGATGGTGTTCTGTTTTTCCTTTTGTGGAAGGTATCTATGAAGAAAAAAATGTTATTTTCAAGTTTAGTGACTTCATACAAAATTATTTCCTGAAAATAATGCTAACTTAAAATAAAACTTAAAATTAACTACAAGTTTATTTCTGTTTTTAAGCATAATGTTTACCTTGGAGTAGAAGCTTCTTTCATGTTACACCCAATTAGTTTTTAAATTTGATTAACAATTAAATTATGACTCATATAAAAACACTATTTGTTAAAGCAAACTTTTAAAACGCAATGAACATACCACAGTTATTACATCATGCTTTTAAAAATACATGTTAAGAGTACAGTTGACACCTTAATTAAAATAAACTGTCAAAAATCATTTTGACTTTTTTCCCAATTCATGAAGTGAAAATCTTGATAATTATGACTTAAAAGTTTTCCTAACAATGCATTTTATTGAACACTACCCTATGCATTTTAATTATAATACAAACTGAAGACTTTTCAATAGGCATAAATGGTGTAAAGAAAAAAATATCGTGATGATGACAGAAAAAAATAGGATCAACATAAAAAAATCACAAACTACTTTAATATACTAGTGATTTATAACATTGATTCTGCTTTTTTTTGTACCAGAAATTTTTGTAAAAAAGGATTTTAGGGCTTTGTTTCTGCTTTTAACAATACAGTTCTAATACTAGGAGAAGTGCTACAGATCAAGTAAATAGCTAATAATAAAAACTGGAATATTACTGGTTATAATAAAATGGACTGAATTCAAAAATAAAAAATAAAGATTTGCTATAATTGTCTAACAAAATGTAATGATTAATTTTTATTTTTTACCCCCGCTAACTAAATTTAGAGCAAACAACAAAAAAATATTATTATAATCATTGTTATTAATACTAAAACTATTATTATTGTCTCTTTTTTCTCTTTTGCTGAAGATGAAACAATTAAAATATAAGATAATTACAACTTTAACTATTTGATGATTAATCATTCTGTTACAATGTAAACCAATTGCATTTTGCTAAAATAATTAAATAATGAATTTTTATCACTGAGAACAAATAAATAAATTAAATAATACTTCAAAATGCATCAAAACCATTAAAAGAAACCATTTACCTTTCGAAATGGAGGCCATTCCTCCCCACCACTATCATTTTCTTCCATGAAATCAACAGCAACAAACAATTCTGATGTATAGAAAGTGTGAAACAACTGCAGCGATGTTGGAGTTGCATTCCAAATTTTTATGCACCCATTTTCATGACCAGTGACTAGAATGTTGTTTTCAGCATTATTATTCTGACAAACCTTACCACCTTTAATTGGCCACTCCTGCAATTATAAATTAATTCAATAGAGAGCTATGAAATTTTATATTATTTTGAAACCCCTAAAATTAGAAGAAATAGTTTAAGAGATAATATTTTGTCTCTGTTTATAAACTATTAATTCCTAAACTAATTTTCTTTACTACATTCATCTTAAAGGTGTTATAATTTTAAACCTGTTTTATAATTAAAAAGTAACTCCTGAGTCAATTTATCTATGTAAAAATATTTGCATCTCAGTTACATAAAAGAAGTTATTTTAAAGAGCAACATTATAGAAGATAAAAAAAATATTTCACAGTTAGTCAGACATAATAACTCTCTAACTATTAGTGTATCAATCATGAGGAACAATTATAGGTCAGCATTTAAGTTGATGCACAATTAAATACAACTAAAATTTGCGCGTAACTAAAACTTGTAATAGAACTAAATTTTCTGCACTAACATTTTCCTTTAAACATCTATAACTTTTTACTTTTATATAAATGCTAGTAAAATACTCAACGAAAGAATGTTTAATAAATCAAGCATCATATTAATCTAGGTTAGATAAGTTATAAATTCCAGAAATGTAAAAAGTCTAAAATATTGCATCTGTGAAAAAGTCATATAATGTCCTACATACAGAATATTAGTTTACATTTAGTTATGAATTAAAAAGAAGTAGTAAACTTAACTACTTTTATTCTAAAATAATTTTTTTACAAACTCGGCAGCAAAATAAATAAATAAAAATTTAAAAAATTAATAAAAAAGTTAAAAATTAAATACATATAAAAAAATTTCCAGAGATTTAAAATGTCAAAAATATAATGCTCAACAAATTTTATCTACAAAATATTTTACCAATAATTCATATATATGTTCAAAGAAAAAAAATAACAAAGGAAAATATTTTCATTTAAATAACCATTACATACAATTAAAAATGAATATTTAATTATATTTTTAGATAATATTAAAAATAATAAATGAAAGTTGATTAATTATTTTTTAAAACAAATATTTTCTTCATTTTTAAGATATTCTTAATTATATTTTTTTAGAGCCAATTATCTTAGCATTATATATTTTGACTAATAAAATAAAAAGCTTGTGAAAAAGTTTAATTGATTCTAAGCAGTAGTTTTTGGTTTTCACGTATAAATAAATTGAAAATCAGAGTTTTCCACAGATTTTACTTTTTTACTATCAAAAAGGCAAAAATGATATTCAAGTACGAAAAAAAAAAGATCTGGTGTGTGTAGAGAATATTTATTAACAGTACCCCAGTGCCAAAACTGGTTTTCAAAATTTTGATTAAGATGCACAAAGAATCACCACGGCAGTTTAATCTGATAAAGACACAGAAAAGAGGAATAACTTGTGAGATCACTGAAGCATTAAATTTATTGAATTCAAACATCACGGTCATTTGTAAAACCTACAGTTCAATATCCAAGCTCGGTATAAGGGTTCCTCATTTTCTTATCGAAACAAGTTGTTCATTGCATTAACTTCTGTGATTTGCTTCTCAAACATCAAGAAAATTATCCATTTTTAAAATTTTTCATCACAGGACACTAGAAGTGGATTGTCTAGAACTATGTTTTGGTCTCTACAAAACGTTTTAGATTATAAAACCTATTCTTCAAATATGGAGGTCAAAAATCACATGAATTAATTTTTTGCCAGCAAAGAACAAAAAATTTATCCTTGTGGAATTATGCTACTGACAGAAAGGTGACAAAAGGATTTGGACCAAGATGGACAGTATATGATTCAATAAAATATTTCTCTAATATAAGAAAATCACCACTTATTTTCATAAAAAAATTAAATTACTTTCCAAAAAAAACAAAAAAAAAATTAAAATATTGTCTTAAAAAAATTACATTTTTTTCTTACATTATTTTATTTTCTTAAATAAAAAAAATACATTCATGACAGTGAAAAAAAAGTCTCAAAAAATATAAAAAATTTGCTTACACTCTCAGACTGGAATTTTGAGTTTTCCCTCTGGCAGCTCATTAAAATCCTCCACATATCTTTATGAACCTCAGAAATGTACTGAAAACATGTTATAGGTGAAGAATGAGGGATTTCTAAATAAGGATACTTAAATGGCAGCCAAGATTCAGACTCTAAGTCTAGTGCTATAAGCTCTTCTTCAAGCAATATGATTAACGCATGAACATTATCGAATTCTGCAAAGCCAAAATACAGAAAATGAACAACTTTTTTTATTGCAATAAGACATTTAGCATTTTAAAGCATTAAAGACGTCATAAATGAAATTAGATATGAAATTAAAAGTAAGTAACATATGAACCAAATTATAGTATTTCAACATACCTAATTTAACTTTGTTACTACCAATGGAACATATACATAGCATTGACATTTAGAGGAATTTATTATTTATTTAATAAATAAAGACATACCTGAATCATCAAAAACATCAGATATAGTAAAAAAATCTATAACTTTGGAGGATAAGTCCAAAACTTCATGCCTTTCACCACACATGATTGTCAAAGTATGTTTCTCTCCATAATTGGATCGAGGCATTCCACCAGAAAATATTATAAAATCATCCCTAAAATAAGTTCAAGACACGTCAATTATTTTACATTCATATAATAAACTTGGTTTTATTAGTCTGGCATTATAATTATTCAGAAAAACAAGTGACCTTCACAATGCTAGAAACAAAGGGCTATGATTCGCTAAAAATTGACTTTAAATGTCTCTAACCCTGCCTCTATGCAATCTATCCATCTTTTGTGAGGTCTTTTTTCTTATCCTGATATCCTATACACTTGCAAATTTCAACTTTTTAACAGGGTTCACATTGTCTCAGATAAAAATATGCCCGACCCGTCTCATATGATAAGATTTGATGACTCCAATATTAGGTTGTTTATAATTTCTACGGATTTCATGATTGAACAAAATTATTCATCTATCATTTTCTCTTTTTGGGCTAAATATCTTTTAACGAATTTCTCATTCAGTTATAAAAAGTCCATTTTAATTTGTTTTTGTCAATGCCCAGTAATCATTGCAACTCAATATGATAGGTCTAAATATTTATTTTTGTCTTGAAATTTAGGGATTTAGATTTTAATAAATTTTTAAGCCATGAAAGCGTTTATTGGTCCTGAATTATCTATAGTCAATATCAAGTTAAATATTATTAAAATCAGAAATGATAGCACCAAAATATGTAAACCAATTGATACTCTCGAAAATATAAGATTTTATTTGCAATGAGAGGTAGTTATGCACTCTATTTGTTAAGACCAAAAATTTTGTTTTAATCTCATTTATAGTTAGTCCAATATCTCTGGCTGCAGACTCTAGAACAGATAATTAAATTACTTCATTTTATGTCACTGTAAGACAAGCAGTGAGCATTAAAGCCAGCATTAAACTACTTTTTTTATTTATTCTTATAGACAGTTTGTTGACAACTTGTGGACAATTTGTATAGTTTTAGTGTTCCCTTTCAATTGACACGGATCTGTATTATAGTTGAGAGAGAGAGAGTGATCGCCAATAATAGCTAGAAGACATATTGCCTAAAGAGAGATGACAATTGAACCTAAAAGCATCTAATATATAAGAAAAATACCATAAAAATTAGACCATTGTAACCAAATACCAAGTAAAACGTTTAAGTGATGAGATTATCATACTCAACCAATTATAATTTGGATTAGAGAAAAGACGTTTAATGCAATTACAGATAATTTTCCAGATAAACTTGTGCTGATTTTCTATATGTATGAAAATCCCAAACTTATAATATTTACTCACTTCTGTTAATACAAAAAGACATTCACTCAAATAAATAAAAGTACTAAAAAATACTAAAATTGGCAGAAAGAAAAAGATTTTTTTTTTTTAAAAAATTTTATGCTACATTTAATAAAACACATGTATTAGATGTACCATCTTTCAGAAATAAAAAGGTAAAAATATATCTTTAAAAAAAACACCATCCTAAACAATTACATTAAATATTATTTAGATTAAATTTGATTTGTGTTTAAAAGAAATTGAAAATTAAAAAAAAAATTTAAAAAATTGGAATATATACTAAAAGATCAGAATTATTTTTTTCATAAAAATGCTGCATCATAATACTTACCCGCCTTTTATAGTTTTCCACAAGATCTTATCAATGGATTTACATGAAAATGGACCTATAATGCAAGGAAAGTAAACAAATGATTGGAGGCAAAAACTATGTTGATGCAAAATAGCTGTATAATAAAAAATAAATACTGATCATGAAAATTTCAATTGTATGAAGCCTAACAATAAACCAACTAAAATATACATGTAAAGTGAAAATGAGAACAATAAATGTTAACTCTTTAAATGTATAACAGTGTCATGTATAGCTCTGTAAAGCATATCTGTGTTATACACAAATGAGAACTATAAATGTTAAATTTTATAATAAATCACCTGCTAATTGTTACATTGGATTTGGAAACCATAAAGCATAAAAAGATAAAATAGCAGTAGAAAATTGAGAGTCTAGAATAAGAAATTAAAATCACTATTAGTAAAAATCACAAATGTTTTTCTTTTATTTATTGAATTCGTTTATCATTTATCTTTTATATAATTTAATTGGTATAATAACTTTATTTAATACCAATATATAAAAACATGAGATTAAACTTAACTAAAATTTTAGCATGAGAGCAAAATACTTTTTTTATCTTTTAACATTAAAATTGTATTAAACACAATAAAATAACAAAAACATGCATAATTTACTCAATTTTTACTTTATAACACACTGCATTTTATAAAATATGATTAGGTATTTTTGTCCATTACATTTTATAACTTTTTAATAACAAGACATAAATATATTCTGCTATTTTATACAGGTATAACGTAAAACATTTCACAATATGCATTCAAAATAATTGTAAATTTTGGTATTATTAACCATTTTTATTATCATTATATAAAAACATTAAAAAAGACAAATTATTTCACTTCACTATAAACATTTGAAAATAATAAAAAAGTGTTACAACATAAGGATAGCATTGTCTTACCATATGGTGTCATGGGTACTTCTGCTGGTTTAGAGGAATCTTCAGTACTCCATACGACATAACTACCATCACTATGAGAACTCATAAACTTAATTCCTGAATGCTGCCATGCAACAGATTCTAAACTCTGGAAAAGTTTTAAAAAAATAAACAAACAAATAACTAAGATAACAAACTTATACCCAGACTTCACTTTTTTGTTTAAAAAAAAAGTATTTACTTTTTTTAAGAATTTAAGCACATTTTAATAATAATAGGGAAAGAAGTTGTAAGAAGTTATGAATAATTTTATAAATAAATCCAAAATTTCATTTATTTATCATATCTCAGGATAATTTAAAAAATTCTTTTAAATAAATGAAGTCTAGGGTCTAAAAGAGTACATTTTTAATACTTTAAATGACAAAATTCCTGATAAATATTTCGAGACAAAATGTTAATAAAGAAATTCTAGGTGAAAGTATTAATGTAACTTAAACTCAGTTAACACAAGTAATATTTTACTTTTATATAAACAGAACAATAGATTCTTTTCATAATTTCTTAAAGACCATCTTCAATATAATTAATATAGAAATTTTTGTTTATTACCTGACTACTAATAAATGTACTGATAACAACCAACTTCTTTACATCCCATAAAGCTAGTAATCCTTGCTGATAACCAATCAAAAGACAATCTGTACAAGATGGCTGACAAGAAATAATTTTAACTGCTCCTTGTTTCAATTTTTTATCATCTGGAATACTACCAAACAAATTACAGAATTAAATATAATTTTATATATGACAATATTAATAAACAAACTTTAAAGAACTCCATTTGGATGCAGAGTAAAAATAAAATAAAACTAAGTTTTAAAATGTTATGTCAAAAAATTTCTGTTAAACTATATAAGATATGGTTCCTTATAGGAACTTCCATTAATTTTTTTTAAATAATTTATCAATATTCCCAACATTTTACTAAATATTAAGATTTAAAATAAAAATGAGCTGAACAAAAACTTTGCCGTTAAGTTAAATTTTTTTCTATCACATCTAATACTTAATCAATGAAATTATGAAAATTTGTTTTTAAATCTTTTCTTAAGAGAGAAGGAAATTTCAGATGCATCATCATACAGAAATACCTTTTTTAAAACCAAAATTTAATTCTTCAGAATAAGAATAATGTGCTAGTAAGTACATATATTTCCAAGCATTTTTGTTACCTGTTTCAGCTCACTGAAATTACTCATGATAAGATAAAAATAAATATTTAGTTTCAAACATTCTTTTGATTAAACTTATGAACAGATTAAACAAATTTAAACATAAATACATTCATATAATTAAAAATTGAAAAAATAAATAATAAAATACAATATTTGGGAATAAAAATACTTTAAATTAATATTTTGTTTTAAAGCTAATTTATCTTCTTTATCAAAATATTGCTTATTGCTAACATATCTTACTTTTGCACAACAACATCTTGGTAGATAACACTTTCAGCAATTTCAAAGGTTTCAACATTCAAGGTATAAATGTTGCCACACATTGTTCCCAAGTAAAGAATATCAGCAGAAGAATTCAAAAATATAGCAGTTATCTTTTTCATCCTAATTTTAAAATAAGGGAATTAAAAAAAAAAATTTAAAAATAAACCAAACTCATAACTTTCTTTTAGATTCGAACTTACAATCCAACAAGAACAAATGACTTTATTTCTTCTAAGCACCATATTTCATTCTTTTCATTTAATTCCCATAAATGTAGACTGTTATCAGAGCACAAACAAATCAAACGAGCCTACAGAATAATAATGAACCAATATATAAAATAATAAACAAATATGCAAAAAACATCTATTTATATATATACATCTATGGCTTTGCTATCAATATGTACGATTTAAAAAGGAAACTTTCCTTAAATGTTAAAGGAAACAATAACATTAAAAAACTATAGAAATTGTTTTAAAAACTAGATGGAAGAAAATATTTAAACCAATAAATTTAAAAAATTATAATAATACAAATAAATTATATATTACAGTTTTTATATTAAATATATAAAAACTATAATGATACAAATAAATTTTAAAAACTTTGAAATATAAATCATGTTTATAAAAGACTGTAATAATGCGTATAAAAAAATTATAAATATTAATATAATAATATTACATCAAATATGTGTGCATAAAAAAGTCTACAATACCTTTTTAGAAATGAAAATTAAATCAGTAATGCACAGTTTTTGCCTCAGATCTCCAGAAAATAGAACACCAGGAGCACCATAACTAAGTGAGAGTTAAGTTTTCAAACGAATTTAAAACATGGTATTCTTAAAATAATTTCTTTCTCACTTATTCAAACTTAACTATTTAAATACAATAAATGTTACATAATTTTGCATTCAAAAAAATTACTTAAGAGTAAGGTTGCATAGTTGTGTATGGTGCTGATGATATCAGAGGAAAAGATCCAAAACTACCAAAAAGGAAAAAAATAACAAAATAGGTTAGGTTTATACTAAGAGCTATTATGAGAACTATGGTAAATGATGACCAAATAAAATACAAATAAATTAAGTCACATAATTCAAAAAATACAAATAATTATGCGGCATTAAAATATTTTTACAATAGTTTGAAAGACTTGCTATATTCAACAACTTGAAGGATACAAAAATGAAATTGCATGATACATATTACATGACGCTGGTGGCTAAATGAAAGGGCTTCATGTTCCCGTGCCACAGATCCTAGATTTGATCTCTGGGCAAGGTTGAGTCAGCCTTTCATCCCTTCAGTGTGTCAATAAATGAGTACCAAGCATGTTTGGGAACTAAACACTGAGGGTTCCGCGTTCGGCTGACCACCAGGACGTTTGCTCTTGTACTCCAGAGCCCAAAGGTCAAGAAAACTGAGATGGGCACAGTAGACCATGAATCTCTATGAGCTGTCGCTGCTGAGTTTAACATCCTATTAAGTGTGTAAATACAAAACATATAATCTGCAGGGCTCAAAATTAACAGTGGTTCATTCGTCCCAGACGAATAAATTTGACTTAGACCACCACAAAATAATTATCACTTGTAATGCTTCTCCACACCAGAATTGATGTAAATGAATGGTATGCTGTGTTTATTTTTTAATTTTTAGTTTCCTACTTCAGTCTGTGTTATTATCACAAAATGAAATATATTATGATAATTGGGTAAATAGCAGTCTTTGTATTGTAATTTTCTATTTAAAATTACTTCATTAACTTTTCTTAAACAAAAAGTTCGAATTGAGACATGTAAACAAATCAGTGAAGATAAGTACAGACTAGAAATATCGTTTAGTCGCTTGCCCTTGGTAAATATTCTTAACTAAATATTCTTGACTAAATATTCTTAATTTTCACCTTTGGTCTCTAAATATGAAGTAAGTTATAATATACAAACAACTGTTAGATAGCTTGCTGTATAGCAATGTATACAGAATAATGTAAAATCTAGTTTAAAAAATAAGGATACATTCTTATAGACCCAAACTGAGTTCCAATTGCCATTAGACATAAATGAGGCTCCCATGCTAGAGCTGTAGGCTTATGAGGAAAACCAAGAGTAGCTATCTATAGTTTAAAATTATAAAAAGAAAAATTTCATAATGAAAAATACATTCAAAAATCAAATTATTTTAACTATACTTAAATATTCATAGTGATTTTGATAACTTATTTGTATCTATGGTATCTCTTTATTAGAAATGAGTATTTCTAAAATAAATAGGTTTAAACTAATGAAAGTTAGAAAATGAAATCTGAATGTAATATTGATTTAATATACAGAGTTTATCTTTATAGAATTTAAAATTCAAATTTAATCAGTTACGTAGATTAAAGTTTATTAGATTAGTTTAATTAAAGTAAAATATTAGTAGATAATGATTCAATTGCTTAAACAAATATTTTCATATTTATAAGTATCTTCAGGTATCTAAATGAAAACAAAAAATTAATTAACAAATACCTTGTTAAAAGAGACAAAATCTTCAACTGACTTAGCTATCTCAGTGTTTGACTGTTGAGTTTTAGAACTTTTAAATTTAAACATGGTAGCTGACAAGCCTGCAATACAAATGAAATAAAGTTAACAGCCTTAAATGATAAGACATTACAAAACATTATATAGGTACATGACAAGTGAAACACTTATATTTAATTAATCAAGAATAAAAATAACCTAGTTATATTCTTTCAAGTCTCTAGAAGTATTTGCTATTCTATTGTTATGACATTTTGACAGCACCTGCAAAGTCCTGACCTGCTTTAAAATTTTGGAACTTGTTAAAGTATTTATATTTGTTCAAAGTATTTATTTAAATAAATTCACAAATTGTTTGAACTGAAATAATTTTTATTCTGTATCTCTTCTCAAAACTACTAATCCCTGACATTGTTAAATCGCATAAAATAACTTTAAAAATATTCAGAATTTTTTTAGCAAGGCAATTTTCTTAGTTTAAAGTATAAGTTTTTCTTTAATTAAACTCTTTAATTTCTATTAAAAAAATTAAAATTTACAGTTTTTTTAATGCTTATTACACTTTGCAAAATAAAATACTCATATAGTCATTACAAATTCTTGTTTTGCCTCACATATTACCATGACAAAACCAGGCGAAATTAGAATAATGTAGTAATTTAATAGAAGCAGTTTTATGATAAAAGTTTAATGTAGTTTAATGATACATAGAAAAGAGAAAATGACAATATGAACTATACCAAACCAATAGTAATGATAAACAACAATTTGAAAATCTTCATGCACAAATCAAATGCTTTTTAACTCTAGATGCTAAGACTGTATGGGTTTTTTTACCAAGGAAATAACTTTAAGAAAATAGAGATTAGTACCCTCTGGATAGATATGGGTTTTACAAATAAAGTTTGCTGTAATTCTGAGAAATTAGTAAAATAATATGCCTTTTTTTCAGAGAAAAAAAAATTACTCATTGGAATTATAAGCATCGAATTACATCGTAACAAAAACAAAACATTTGACAGTAAATGAATGGAACTTTTCAGGTTTTAAAATACATATTAAATTCTCCAATTTACAAACTATTTAAAAAACTATTACTTAAAGCTGCAAATTTATTTAATTCAAGAGGAATCAGCACGAAAAATATATAGTTATATGTTTCGGCAACTTATGAAAACACAAAAACAAAACAGCTGCATAATATAAACAAATGTTATCCCAGAGAAAAAGATATATTACAGATATTACTATTTACCTACAACTAGTAATTAAAAATTTGGTACAGAAAAATTCCTTTACGCTACAGTGCTCTGCTGAGATATCATATTTATCTCGCAGTTTACACAGGATATTGTTTCAAATTTCTAAAATATTGATCAATTAACATCTAAAACATAAATAACAACAAACAGAAAACCGACGTACGAAGAGGGTTACAGTTAAAGAAAAATAATTTTAATTTTCTCTTAAAGTTCTGACACTTTCAAGGTGCTATTCTCACTGCTTAAAATTCAGGTACTTCCGATCCTCGTCGAGAAAGAACAAGAATCTGATTAGAAAAATTACTGTACCAATATCGAAAACTAGCTGCTTTTCCTTCCCAATTTAATATTCGGAAAGCATAAATGTCTCGCAGAGATTCTTTAATAGAAATAATATTTTTTTTTTTTAAATTGGTGGTAAGTTTTTGAATTGGCGATCGAAATGGGCTACAAATGGCGTAGAGCAGAACTCTGCACCAAATTTAGATATGCGAGGAAAATTCCATTCAGGGGGAATGACATTTTAGTGTGCGGACACCTTGCGGTCAACAGAAGACTAGGTGCTTCGGGAAACAGTCTTGGCAAATGGCTAAGTTAAACTTGGTCACCATCTTCATCTTATGTTTGGGCTGGTTAGAGAGAACATGCAATTTACCTTTGCAAAGTTTCGTATATGATTTAGGTTCTTTAGTACTTTCAGTTATGTCACACTATGGCTGCACTATGGGCTATTGACAATGGTCTGGGAAACATCCCTGAGGATAATCTGAGACAACAAACATACGTCACATCCCGTTTTAGAGGGAGGACACATTCACAAACCAGCCATTCTTCCACAGATCGTAATTTTGACCTAAACTAGAGCAAGATGAATCTCCGATCCAGTACATCCAGAGGTATTGATCTTGNGTAGGGGAGACAGAGAAACGGGTTTTGGAGGTGCAATATATTTCGTCCCTTTTCGAACCTATCCTTACTGAAGGTTAGAATTGAAATGAAAAGGCCTCTTTAGGTATTCTTTGGCCAAGGTATTGATTTGTTACAAGAACTTAGAAGACTTTGCGACCCCGACAGATTTAGCGTTCACTAATCACCATTTTATACTCAGGAAGTATTCGGCCGCCGGAGATCACAAACCCTTCGGACATTGACCCACTCCCTACCAGCCAAGCTATCCCGGCCCCGGATATGATTTCGGAGCAAGGCTAAGCTGACCAGCGTCCTCAGAAAACTAAAAAAAACTGTAGTAAATTTCTAAACGGGTTTTGAAAACTCACTGCTCTGCTTTTCAAATTTATTATTCTGAGAACAGAAATCCCCGCTGAGATTCTATAATTTTTTCAAATAATTGGAAAAGTATAGAAGGGAAATTTCGAATATTATCTAAGAAATTTTACTACCATTTTTTTGATTTTCTGAGGATAGTGGTCAGCTTAAGCAAAGACTCATTTGGAACTTTTCAGACACTGTAATTTTATTATTCGTTTTATTGTTCCAAAGGAGACGCTTCTAGACTTCATGTCATATTTTGGCGAATGAATAAACACTTTGTCATGGAATTCACAATGTCCTTGAATTCACTGCAAAACAATACATTTATTTTGAAAGCTGTCTTTCAACGAAACTTCGGAAAACATCATGAAATGACTGAAAGTTCGAAGCTGTCCCCACAAATTGCAAAGCTGTCCTTGAATCGCTGGTATCAAATCTCTAGAGAGCCTATTAAAATGGCATTGGACAGATCAACTCAAAAAAGAGCAATCTTGATGGCTAGCAATTCTAATTAACTAAATATTGCAAGCATTACCCATTAGCAATAACCACTTGCAGTTTGCAAACGCACTAGCTGAACTTACAAATAGAAAACGAGAACAGTAGACCCCCTCCCAGCAACAGAGAATCAGTAGTTCAAATTTAAATCAATCTGGCTGAAGTTATAAAATTTTAATAGTCTTTCTAGCAAGATAGGTAGGTACTCTAGCAAGATAGGTAGGTAGGAACCTTCCTAGCACTATCAGATTTCAAAATCTAAAACTTTCTTGAAAACTTTAAGAATGAGCTCAAGACGCACTTTAAAAGCAAAGGCAAGGTGGTTAAAGCAAAGATGATGATTTACGCATCAAATCAAAGTATCCCTCTATTCAATATCCTGCTCTTGTGTTTTAAGTTTTTATATACATTGAATCTCGCCAAGGCTCTAAATCTTTGGTGATTCGTTTCATTTCCTCCCGGCTTTTTCATGGAAAATTTATTTGATTAATCTAAAACCCTTTTACAAATACATGGCATTTACTGCAATTATTAGAGTATAGTGTTATAATCCCCTCTGATGAGACGAAGAGGTTGATTAAGAAAAATTTAAAAAAAAAGAAACGATTCTAGTGAACTAATGTTAGGTTCGGGAGGGACTACAAGGGATAAAGAGAATTGAGTCATGAGAGAGAAATAAATTATCTGAATGGTTTCATCAGGGTCTGCAAAGCGTAACCCCTTATATCCAGCGTCATGTCAGCATTACAACTTGACGTTTAAACGATAGATACATTTCCTGCAATGGTTAATAGACCCAATTTCTCAAATTTAATAAAATATGTCATTTAGCATATTATGGTTCGAAATGCATAGTTTTTTCTTCTATTTATTGAGCTAAAGAAAATTTTAACTTACACATCAAATACCTGCTTTGTTCTAAAAGTCAATGCCAACGGTTTTTTCCCTTTCTTTTTAGACGAAGAAGAAAAACAAGATTTGAGGATTCGAAGCAATAGCAAGTAGGAATAAATGAATTATAAAACACATTGCATGAAAAAATGTTTTATTTATGTTCAAAGAAAATTTACAAGTATGCAAACTGTCAAAAAAATAACACTATTTTGGATAACTATTTACAAAATGGTGGTAGGTAACATGAGTAAAAATATAAAATCACAAACAGTATGTCGCCTTGAAGTATCATTCCTCCATCCTTAACTATTTCGAATTACTTTATTAATCCAGTCGGAGTAATATAGTACATTAACATATACGCCAGGTACACCAGCTTGGCCACATCCAATACCCCATGAAACCAATCCCACAACGTACCACAATCCTTTACTTTTGCACACTAGAGGACTACCACCGTCTCCCTGTAAAGAAAATTGATAGGCATGAATTGGAAACTTGTTTTTATTAAGTTGTAAATATAAATTAGGGCAGCAATTTTATACCCTTATCTATTGCTCTACTAGGTACATTTGTAGAAAATTTTTGATGTCGATTACAGTTTGTCCATTGAATAACTTAACGATATTAGCCTTTAAGAGCAATTCTCAGTGCGTGAGAAAAAAATCGGATCGTTTGGAGGTGCAAACGATTACCTTATTGTTGAGTTTTTCGTGAGAAAATGCACTGCACCAATTAGGTTCTTATTGGCATTAGTAAATTGTTCTCATTCAGGGAGAACGGTCCCTTAGAAAGCAGTGGGAAGTAAAGTTCTCACCAACTTCATTAGTTTTGAATTGTCAATCTGAAGCTTTCTTAATGATTTCTGCGGTAATCTGCTAATCGCTACGGGAAATACCAATATTTAAATAAACACATTAAAACAATGGAAGGCTTTATTTACATAATGAAGATGTTGTTGGTAAAGTAAAGGTTTGCATTGGGTCAAGAAGATCAGCAAACACGGGGGAACTATTTCCTCCCTCTTGTGCATTTTGTTCATTTGATCGCTTTTCATCGGGGGGTTTATTTGTAGTTAAAAGAATGGAATTTATAAACTCAGTTATTCACAAGCACACAGTAATAACAGTAATTCATAAACATACAGTAATAACAGTAATTTATAAGTTCAAGGCTGTGGCCAATTCCTTAACAGTAAAGAGAAATGTGAGAATTCTACCCACCTTCCCACCAAAATAAATAAATAAAGTTTTAAAATTTAAATAAATTTTGATCAATAAAAAAATGAGTTTTTTTTATAAATCAGTCTTAATCCTTAAAATATTTTTACGTAGCGTAACTAGTAAGAAATGTCCTATAAAGGATTAAATAAATTACCACATAGAACGCGTATATAAATATATCATTTTTTATAAATCAAATTGATTCCGATTTAGAGTAAAAATAATTCGAAATAATAAAATGCAGTGCAGATTTTTTTTTCTTCATGAATGAGATGTTTATCATTGGAATTAAAATTCATGGAAATTCAAATTAAGTTAATAAAGCTTATGGAAAAATATAATTTTTTGTCACTTGAATTTCCATAGTGTCTTACATAAAATTATCAATAAATCAAAAGGGTTATAAAATTTTCCTAAGTAAAAATATGACATATCATAAATTATTTTTCCTTTATTCATAATCGAAAATCTAAGAGGAAAAATGTCGCGATCGGAAAAATGTAATATTCTGATCGAATTCCTGAACTTAAATGCATCTAAACAGTCTAAAAATATTTTTTCCCTCAAGCCGCAGTTAACCATAACATGCTTTCAAACCCGAAAGCAAATGTTTTTAAAATGTGACTAAATATTTTCTTTTTACAAAGGTTCTTAACAATAATCAACTTATAAAAAAGCCAATTGAAAAAACATCCGGCATTTAACATTTTTGTGTTTGATACCATAATTAATTTAAAATCCTCATGAAGTGTTTTTACAGTGAAAATTGGTTTGTAAAAAAAAGTTAACTCAAAATATTATTCAGAAAATTAACTTAACTTGTTCAAAACCATGATCACAAATACGTGATCAAGCAAATCCTTCTCCATTGCCCACGGTATCATATATAGGATTAGCCTATATCTGTCTCCAGCGGCCCATGATCACCCAGACGTGATCTCAATTTGGTACTCTCGTATTACAATTTTGTATTTGTACTTATACGTACTATGTAGTACGCATACTCCCAGAGCCTGACTAAGGCAGGGGCATACGGGGCAGTCGCCCCTGGCCCCCACATCAGAGGGCCCCCAAATCGAACAGAGAGTTCATTTTAAATTTCCTTCTTCATTGAACTTTTTTTAAACAAAACATCAGTACAGTGTAAAATTCGTCAGTTTTATGTTAGCTTCGTCATTAATATATCGTATGAACACAAAACATCTATATTTCTTAAATCCATGGGTTTCTAGGAGGGAATTCAGCTAAATTTTCGCAATTACGATGGACAAATTGGGCCAATGAAAAGCCTATATTTTTGTATATCGCAAAATGCAATCTGCTTACAAAAATACGGGCTTCTGATTGGCTTAATTGAGTTATCGTAATTGTGAAAATTTAGTTGAATTCCGCCCTTATGTCAACAAGGATATGAATTTTATGCAGCTAGATGACAAAGTTAACAATCAGAAAACTGTCTTCGCATGCTGGACGTGGAATTGTCAGAAAATCAATAAAATGGAAAGAACAATATTTCGTCTGACCATTGGTGGCGGAGGGGGGAGGGGAGCACTTTATAGCTATTTAAGGTTCTAGTCAATTTTTTGTTATATATCTATAACGAGGTGAACAATTTAAATAGCTCCATTAAGTTCAGCTCTCCATTACTGAAGCAGAGGGGGGCCCCAAAAGAAGTTTTTGCCCCGGGCCACAATTAGGCAAAGTCGGGCTCTGCATATTCCCGGAGTTGACGGGCCTGGGGAAGCGTTTCTTTCCTTCTCCTGTCCTGAACGGCTTAATAAAAGATACTTTATAAATATTATTTTTTCTACGAAGTTAAGAAACCCTCATACAATTTCTAAAAAGTACTAGGGTGCGGTGAAATGATCAAAATTTCACCTGTGTGCACAGCATGTGTTTTAGATACCATGAAGATAGCAAGTCTATTTTCATGATATAATTCACATGAAAATAGACTTGATATCATCTTCAAGAGTAAAGTTTTGAGAAGGATTCTGGGTGCAGGGAATAACGATGGTACATGAAGGCTCAGATATAATAAATATCTGTGCAGGCTGATTAGAGAGGCAGATATTATCAATCACATCAAATTTGCTGGACATATCTGGCGAATCAGCCTATACTCCTTAACCTCCAGATTTTTAAATTTTAAACAGGGTGGAGCATGAACCAGAGGAAGGTTCAGATTAAGGCGAATCGAGTGCTCTAAACGTGGTTTCGAGGTTCTAAAAGTGAACAACTTTAACACCATGTTGAGGAAGAGAGCAGAAGGAAGAAGGTCTCCGAAGAAAGCATTAGCCCACAAAGAGCTGTCAAGTCAATGAAGAGGTAGAAAAAGATCGGAGTTACAAAAGGGGTCTAGATGGTTTTGATTTCATCGAAAAAGCACCAATGCACAATTTTATGTGACTTATCTATAATTCATCTTAGGATTCTAAATTTCAACGGGAGTATAACATACGTACAGATATTATTTAAATGTTATCCCTTTTTTGTTATCCCTTTTTTTATAATTTTTTTTTAAATCTAAAATTTGAAGGGGAAAACATGCTATAACACCTCGCACGTATGATTAAAGTTATAAAAATCACGATGAGTCATAAAATCAGAGTCAAATATGTTCTTTCTAAAAACCATGCTAGCTCAAAGAAATTGGAAAATAAAAAGCATTTTTTAAATTAATTGAAGCTTAACTATTTGAATTTTAGAATTAAAAAAAATTTCGACTAAAAAAATAGCTGGGAAGAATTCTATACTCATACCAATTGCCAAGTTAACTTAATAAGTTAATTGGAAGACAAGAAATCTAGATATCTTATGATGAAAAAATCTGAATTGATAAAAACAGATTAAAAAACAAAACTTGGAATGCTTGAGTTTAGAGGCAATTCCAATTTTATTTTATTTTTCCCAGTGTTATTTTATGCTTGGCGTCAAATAGCTCAGAATAAAACAAGTCCTAACATATATTTTTTTCAAAAAAAAGAAGAAAAAAGAAGAAGAAAAAAACGAACATTTTATTTGGAAAAACCCTATAAACCCCTTTCAAATAAAGAGTTGAGTGGATACGCCTTCCTGTTATTTGTTGTCCGCAAGGTTTCAATCAGCGAAATCTCACATGAACTAACACTCATTTAACGATTGCGCCATAGCGTTCGCAATCCTTTCGTTTTGATATGCTGCCGTGATGCTAAAAGAAATTTTTTTAAAGTAATTCGTCGACTTTTTGCAGTGTGGAATTTCCTCAAATGTCACTTTGAACTCTTCATCAGTTGAGATTTACGAAATTTAAACCCGTGGCAAATAATTTAATGTTCTAGAACTCAAGATCTTTCAATCAAAAATCTTTTTTTTTTCCATTTTTAATTTATTTATTCAAAATCTCATTTATAACCTTCCTTCATTAAGCATTTTAAATAAAATCACGCAGGAATTTGGTTTTAAAAAAGCTCATTTAAAGAAAAATCCAACTTACCGTGCAAGCATCTTTTCCGACTTCTCCGCCAGCGCAAAGAAATCCTGGGTGCAAAACGAAATCAGGTCCAAGATTAGTACTTCTTAATTGTGAACTGCAAAGTGATCGGCTGATGACGGGAATATCAACTTCTTTTAAGACATTCTGATACTCTCCTTGTGACCCTATAAACAGAAATTGAAATTAAATACTAATTACGTACTAATTTACTTGATTGAGTTGATTTAGTGAATGCCTTACTTTTAAAATCGATGAGTTCCATGAAACAAATACGAATAATAATCAGAATTAATAAATAAATGCTTCTGCCTAAATTTTGCTATTAAGTGGTGGTACGACTAATTATTAGAGTTATTTGTTTTGAACATATAGGGTGCTCCGTAAGCTCTCCTGTTAAATACATATTTTTAGAATCCTGGATAAAAAAAAATAAACATATTCGGGATCTTAAATTAATATTTAAACGAAGAAAAAAGAAAAAAGTTCTTAAAATCTGGCGCATCATTAAAAAGGATGGTGAGAATAAGAAACAAAACAAATATCTATCAAAAATATGTTTGATTGCCGTAAAAATGGAGAATTGGGGAAAGGTTATTTTTTTAAACATCTTCAAATTTCGATCGTTAACTAAACAGGTTTTGGTGCTTAAACCGCGTCAATCCTAACACTGAATCCACAAATTTCGATACCGTTTTTAATTTTTCCCGGCTTAAATTTTATTTTGCGGAATATGCATAAGTATTTTATTGCATTTTTAACATGGATACCAAAAGCATGAATTAAAGGCAAGGATTACTAGTTTTCAGATTTTCAGCCTTACCTTCCTCACATTCGTTAGATTTCAATAGCTAGTTTCTTTCCAATCTAAAATGCTCATTTGCTATACCTAATGTGTACACCTTTTTTACTTTTTTAAATTTAAAAAGAACTCTAAAAATATATTAAATGTGGTTATTTCGAACGTCCTTGTACATTCTGTTTTGTGCTGAAGCAAAACAATGCAATTGGGCAACTGCAGGTGACGTCACGCGTAGGTGTCGAACCAACACCTCCTAGAATAAGGAAGGCCTCAGCACGGATTAAATTAGTAGTCCGATGTGACGAAGTTAACTGCGCAGTAGATGAAAAATAAGAAAGATGTCATTACGTTCGGGGTACTAAGCTGCGCAGTGGTTGAAAATACGAAATATGTCATTACGTTTGGACTACTAAAGGATATTTATGGTAACCCGTGCAGAGGCCTACTCTTTTCTAGGAGGTGTTGGTCGAACCCTGTCGTAGCTGTCAACTTCTGAATCGAGGCAATTTCTTATACCACAGTTTAGCAGATAATCAGGTTTGACACCTACGCTTAACGTAACTTGCTGGTGCTTAATCAAATCTGATCCGAAAATTTATTCAACGTGGTAATAAACCAAGCCTAATAGCTGTGACGTCAATACGCCATCTTGGTTATATATAACCAGCAATCTTCTTTTTTCGAGTTTCAGGTACTTGTTGATTACTTTCCCAATAAAATCTGAAATCCAAGGTAATTTTCAAGCGGAAAGTTGGCAACTACCCAAAACCGTTTGATATTTTTACAAAAATTAAAAGGGCTAATATTGGCTTGGAATGGCTCACTATTAAGTCTCAACTCAATATTTATATAGTGTATTGATAGTTTTTAATGTCAAGTTATATAACTTAGAAAATTTGGAACTCAACTCAGAAGACAAAGACGCATCTGAGTCGCATGTCGTAACAAATTTACTTTATTTAATGATTTATTTATTTTAAACATTACATACATAAAACGTATAAATATATAAAGAAAAAAAAAACTCATAACCATGAAGTGATATTAAAAAAATTTTAAAAATGTAAAAAAAAATTTAAAAATTTGAATTGTTGTTTATGCTCTTGTTCGCTTGTTGTTTCACTACTTACAGGAAGAAAAAAAACACTCAAATTGAGATTCAGAAACTAAAAATTTTACATTCCTGAATATGCTATAAACTTTAACTTTCCAAGAAAAGCGTAAAGGGACTGAATAAGCTCAACACATTTCATTCCCGGGAAATATCTTCCAGGAAAAGTGTAAAAATGAGAATTTGTGAACATATCCATGAGTAATTAATTACTGGAAAATATCTCCCAAGAAAAGCGTAAAAGAGGCCTACAAGAATGTTCTCAAAATATTTTTCCCGGAAAATATCTTCCGTAAAAAAACTAAAAATTGATATTTATAAAGATGTCACATTTATAAATATGTCATGAGTATTTTATTCGGGGAATGAATCATCATGGTAAAATGTAATATTGGTAAATCCAGGTTTATAAATATGTCATATTTATAAATAAGTCATGAGTATTAAATTACCGGAAAGAATCCTTCAGATATAGCACAATGGTGACCAATATGAATATGCCTGAAACCTTTCATTCCCGGGATATACCTTCCGGAATAAGGAATATATGAATACATTATGACATTTATGAATATGTTATGAATATCCGAGAAATATTTTCCAGAAAAAGCGTAAAAGATACCGATATGAATATGCTCTACACATTTCATTCTGGGGTAAATGTAAAAGTTGTCATTTATGAATATGCCATAGCTATTGAGCATTTAATTCCCGGGAAATATCTCCCAAGAAAAGCGTAAAAGCTGACATTTTTTAAAATACCACGAATGCAAACACAAATGTAAGAAAATAAATAAGTACCATTTAATGCATTTGTAGTTACTTACCAAAGAAATTTTTACCCCATCCTGAAACCCAACATTTTTGATCATCATATACTTGTCCGGGCGTTGGTAGGCAAGCTGGATTAATGTGAGGTAATCTATCAACGGGTTCCGTCAAGCGAAGCAATGCCAGGTCACCTTGTAGGGTTTCAGGATCAAAGTCTGGATGAACAACCATAGTAGTCACATCTTTCTCAGTGTATGGATAAATTTCATCTTTTCTCTTAACGTCCCATTCTCCGAGTCGAACAAGAAGAGGTGAATTGGCATACCTTTAAGATATACAAATAGGGTTAAAGGTATCCATATTATACCATCTACGATATTTATAAATTTATTTATTAAAAATTATAGTAATTTTTTTTAAATTTTTATTACACATCTATATATATATTTCTCTTACATGGTGACAAAAAAAGCTTCATTACAACTCCCCGAAAGGCAACGCTAGAAAATCGACCAATGATTGCCGTTAGAAATGTCACATGCCAAATCTAGCTGAGGTGGCTAAACATATAGCGTTTTTAAAAACGGAAACGGAAATAACCAGAGAGGGCATTCTCACCAAATCTGATCTCTTCAGAAATTCTCCCTATCAGCTGCGGCAACCTCATACTATTAAGCTAGGCAGAAGTGAGTAGTCTTTGTCGATAGATCTCCATTTTAGTATTTCGTCAAAAGCAATTCTTGCTGTAAATTTGTGCAAGAGGGCTTAAATGTTCTTCTCAGAATTTTCATTTTTGGTTTAAAAATTTTCGGACAGATGGCATTGCAGACAATAAATCCCTTAAATTTAAGAAAACTTAGTGAAAGTTAAAAGCAAAATGTTTAAGTATCTTTTACAAATTAAAATAAAATAACAATAGTTTTGAAATGTCAATCACCATTCGCAACCACTTGTTCGTGGGATGAAATCAGCAAACATAAAGTAGGAAAAGTATCGCGCCATCTGCTTAAAACTTTTCGAGCTAAATCAGAAACTCTAGGAATAAAACTTATGCATTTCGACATAAGTTTGTTGAAAATATTTTTAGTTTAAGCCTTAACCGTTTTTAAACTATAAATTTTTTGAAAACTGTCGGTCTATTTTGGGCATCCTGTATACTATTTAAACGATTCTTTACTAACAAACCGTTTAACACCTAGTTATTGATAATTAGATGTCATGAATTTCTTGTTCATCAGTCAGTTAGTCCTCCCTTGCGAGGACATTGTTTTCGTAGCTCATTGTTAATTCAATACGAAGCCGAACGTTATTGTTTCTAATTTTCTGCTTCAATAGGTTGTTTATGTTTATTGACGGTAATAACATAAATCTAAATATTTGTCTTCAAAGAAAATTTCGCGGCAAGAAATAAAAATTATAAAGAAGCAATGGAAGATCCTAAAATTCAAAAAAGAAAATAAACGTTAGAGCTCATTATTTATAACGAGTAAAGGTTTAAACACTTATTTGCTTTATGTTATTAGTGACTCTCGATATTAAAAAAATTGGAAGCGCTGTTGGCGCCTCCGTCGCTGTTTTCGTCGTCCAACTTAACGATACATTTTAGTTTGCTTGCAAAAACTACATGGCTTAATAATTTCAAATTTCGAAATTGCATAGAAAAATGAATAGGAATTACGATGGAATAAAAAAATTTAACATTCGATAATTCAATTGAGAATTATTACTTGTTAAACTTGCAAGAAAAAAATACCATGCGGCCGTTCTGTAGGCTGCAGAAATACAACAACAGAGTTAAAATTCAGCTTGCGAAAAGGACCATATTTGTTAATGAACTTAACACAGAGTTTTAAACGTAATTCTAATTTATTCGAAAGTTATTGTAATTTTAAACATTTTTTTAGCAAAATTTTTTCCGTTGCTTCTTATTTTGCAGCTCAAAAGCACTTAGAAACGGGGAATTACAAAGGTGTGTAAAAAAATGCACCATAAGTTTTGGATTAAATAAAAGATTCGATTATAGCTCTAGAATTTTTAACTGTTAAACTTGTGTTTAAAAAATGTCCTGCTGGCTGATCTACTGCCGGCTGAAATGTTACAACAGAGTTGTTGAAATTTGACTTGCTGACAGAACCACTTAAATATATCCGAAAATCTAGTTAATTTTATGCCTTGAAACTACTTATATAAAGTTGACGAGAGTTTTTTTTTTTTTTCGAAAATCCTATTTGTTCGAAAGTTATTTAATTTTTAAGCGCATTTTGCTATTTGTTTCTCTTCAAATAACAATTATTCATCCATTGTTGTAGAAAAATTGCTTAAGTAAAATTAACGAAATAAACATATTAATAAAATGTGCTTGGATAGAATAATAATAATAATATATTTCATAAGTGAAATTAGCTTTTTTATGGATTTTTAACGAAAAGAACAAGGATGAATGAAAAGCAACCGCGGGGGGTTGGTGAGCAAAATGAAGAAGGGGAGGGGAAGCCTCCAAGTTCATATAAAAGTTAATAACTGCGTTATTAACTTTTAATAGTAATAATAGTTTGCTTAACTTAATGTTATTGAACATTTAAGAAATATACTTACTTGCTGACACAATGTGCCACAGTAGCTATCCACTGCGGAGCTACCAAAACACCACCACAAAGATAGAGGTTTTTATCTCCAACAACTTTCCTCAAAATAGCTATCTAAAAAGATATTTTTATACCACGATTACTATTTTGGCACAAAATAACATACATAGGTTATTGACAAATTTCCTTTGATTTACAACTCCTTCAATATTAGTCAACTATTTTGTGCTTAACCAATAACTGCTACATCATTNAAAGCAACCGCGGGGGGTTGGTGAGCAAAATGAAGAAGGGGAGGGGAAGCCTCCAAGTTCATATAAAAGTTAATAACTGCGTTATTAACTTTTAATAGTAATAATAGTTTGCTTAACTTAATGTTATTGAACATTTAAGAAATATACTTACTTGCTGACACAATGTGCCACAGTAGCTATCCACTGCGGAGCTACCAAAACACCACCACAAAGATAGAGGTTTTTATCTCCAACAACTTTCCTCAAAATAGCTATCTAAAAAGATATTTTTATACCACGATTACTATTTTGGCACAAAATAACATACATAGGTTATTAACAAATTTCCTTTGATTTACAACTCCTTCAATATTAGTCTAATATTTTATGTTTAACCAATAAATGCTACATCATTTTGTAAAAAAAAGTTAATTGTTAACCAAGCTTATAACCAAAACTTGAATATTTGCCACATCTTTCTCCCAAATCTAAACAACACGGGCTCGGGAGTGGGCTCGTTCCTCTTTTATACACAAACGAGCAGGGTTCGTTATGTAACAGAAACTGTCAAATCTTTTTTCCTTGCTTTGAAGATCGACAAAGGTTGAGGAGAATATCTAGATAACAAAAAGTAAGTCAAATATTGCCTAATAAGAAATTCAAAATGTTGTTTTGAAAATTATGCACGCATAATAAGAAATACATAAAAAATATCCCAAAGAGCATCACAAAACGTTCCAATCCCTAGTCAACTATTTTTTTTTTATCTAAGTGTGATATTTACTATTTTGTTAACTATCAAACTATGCTTCCTAATTCTTTCATTGTATCACAAATATGGAATCACTTTCCCCTTTCAGTTCATTTAAAAAACGTGGTTTTTAAAAACTTCATATTATTGTTAAGAACTAACTTTAAACTAGCTTTTAAATAGGTTAAAAATAATTGATGAACAATATCGATTTTAAAAACAATAAATTGTAAATACCTGCCATGGATATTCTCCGAAATCAGCAGTATCAGTTGGATATTGCGCTTGTCTAGACCATATCATGTCAGAAACTCGCTGAACACCACAAGAATATGGTGCTCTAGGTTTTGCGGGATATCTTGGGGGTGGTGGGTAGACAGGAAGTTCTGGTAATGGTGTTGCCACTGGATAAACATTATCATTATTATCTGTGTCATCAATGTTATCAAAATAAATTTCACAGCAAACCTTGTTTGGCTCGCAAACTCCTTGATCTCGGTTTTGTCCCACAGGATTCGAGTTTACAATATTCGATTTAAATGGTAATGCTGTTATATTCTGAAATAAATTTAATAAAATACTTTTTTAGTCTTTAAAGGTAGTGTGAAAAAAATTAAATCACTCCAATGTAATTTGCAACACCATTTTTTTCTTTCTTCAAGAAATATTACGTTTAGAAAAATCTTAAGTTTAAAAATTCATCGTCAAGGTAACCGTTAAAACTGAAATAGAACCGTTTATAATAATTTTGAATTCGAAATGTTTTTTTATAGAAACATTGATACAAAAAATTCCATTGTAAAATTTTACACTGCAAAAGTACGGACCATAATTCAAATTGAAGCACATAAGCAGAAATCTGGAAGCTTTTGTTCTTATAAATATCAGCAGTCAGAAGAGCAGCCAAGCGGTCTTGATCCGCAATTATTTTGTTCTGTAACTGGCGTTGAACAAGTGAAAAAATTCTAAGTTTACGGCTATTAACGTTCAACTCCGAAGCCTTGTAATTTTGAACCCAGCCTAGAAGACAAGGGAACTCCTTTATAAAGAATTGGGAGAAATTTGCTTTCGTGGAGGGCTTTTTGATGGAACTAACCCGCACTAGCGTTACATGGAGAGGAAATATACACGGTTATCCCGACCGTAGGTGGTAATTCTAACCCTCTTGAGGGCAAGAGGATTCTAACTTATGATCCCTCTGAGAATGTGTTACATCAGCGCTGTGGTCGGTGCGAGCCGGAAGCAAAATTCGTATCAACCAACAACAGCTAGGATTCGAACCTGGGTCATCTCATTGGAAGGCAAACGCTCTGTCCACTGAGACATCGCTGCTTTGATCCACAATTTTATAATTACAGTAAGGTTATGAAACGTGTTTCTGAGCAATTGTAGAATACGAAAGCTAAGTTAAAAATAAAAAAAAAACTTTTAAAAGCCAAGAAAATTTTTCCAATCACTTTCCTTCACTTGAAAAAAAAAAAATTTTTTAAATTTAAAAAAACTATGTTGGTTACTATTTAACTGTTGGTATAAGTGAGGTTTTTCATAGCTGTACATCTTATTATTATTGCTATGCTTAATGGGCTTTGAACATGTATAGCGATAAGAAACAGTATAACATAAATTTGAAATACTTTTTTCAAATGTGGCACTTATGAATCAAATTGTACCTTAGTATTGTTTCCATATAAATACTTTAGAAGTTTCCATAATTTCTATTTTATGAACACGAAAAATGCTCTCCATACTACTTTGAAAATTTGGCTCATCATTATATTTCCGTAAGCCCTGTATCACCAATATACATCCAGTGGGGTTCAGAAAGATAAGAGCTTCACGGGTAATTATATATTGAATTTAAAGCTGACTTACAGAAAAGTTTGGGGGAAAAATTTGTATAAACAGTATGTTTATATATTTTGCTCATTGTAGCATTTTTTACTCGATATAAGCAGTCAAAATCATTTTCATTTCTTAATAGTACATGTATAGTGCTAAAATAAAAAAGTGAACTCACAGAATAACTTTTGATCCTATGATCGGATTTTCACGTACTAGGACTCAATATTCATGGTTTGAAGATGCTTATTAGTTAGAGCAGACAATATTCTAAGTTACGAAATCAGACATAAAAACGTACTTTCTCTGAATAAACATACCTTTTCTCTGAATAAGTATAACTTTGGGATGAAATTTGGTTTCTTAACCTTCAAAATATTAGGAGAATATTAGGAGAATTCAAGAAAATCTAGTACAAAAAGTTTAAGCAGGCGAGCAATCGAAAATTTCAGCCCCTTACTTCATTTCATTTTGTGCGTATTATACATATTACACATCTTTTAAACATTTTCTGTAATTTTTAGTTTTAAAGTCAAATATCTTAATATGATTTGCTACTTACATTAATATAATTGCAACACTCCTTCATATAAAATAGGACAATAATAATGCACAGATTTTAATATACAAATCACGACTAGAACTTACTTTATTTTGTCTGATGTAATTCAGAGATCTAATTCGTCGTTTACGAGCATCTAGAAGCCTTCCACCAGAATTCAAAACTCCGTCTTTGCATAAATAGTAAGGAACACAAATGCAGGATGTATATTGTGGGGCTCTTGTAACAGCTGGTGGTATTGGCTGTTTCTTATAATATCCAACAGGTGGATTTATTCCTGAAGGATGCTCAATCGGTAGTTCCTGTGGAAATATCTGGCCCTTCCCTGGAGGTGGTGGAGAAATATTTTTTGGTTGCTTATTAATATTGGTAGGAGGAGGAACAGCGGTATTTATATTCACTCTAGGTTTGTAGGCAATTGATTTTTGTGGAGCTGGAGGTGCAGATGATTTGATAACTGGAACTACTGGCGATTGAGGAAATAAGTATTGAGGAGTTACTGGTTTAAGAGGTGCTTTTAGTGGACGTATAGCTTGTTGAGGACTGACAGGTTTAACTCTTGGTGGTGGATTAGGTGCAAGAGGTGGGTATTTGCCATATCCAAGTGACGGGAATTTAGAAATGGATTGCTTGTTATCGGATGAAGTTGTATCGTCACTTGATTCGTTCGTATACACCTTAGATGCAGGGAAGGGAATATTCGATTTTGAGACATACTGATCTGATAAAGGTGGGAACTCAAATTTTTGTATACTGTTGTTATCATCTGCTAGATCTGAAGAATCATCGTAGCTATCCTCTGGGATATTTTGTGGAACAATTTCTTCAATTGAGTCCTGCCTTAAAACAGGGAAAGAAGAGTAAAATCCGAATTTTGGATATGGTTCTGGCTTACTTATGACTCTGAAAAAAAAAAATGAAAAAATTTCTGAAGGAACATTATTGTGGGGTATATTTATAAATCTCAATCAATTACATGCATTCTTTGAATTCTAAAGTAATATTTATGTTAAATAAATAGCAATACAATGTAAAACAACTTTAATTAAAAAGTTATTAATGTAAGAAAATTTTATTGGATGTTCGTTTAATGACACATTAACCGAATATGGCTACAACAAGAAAAATGAGTGGAAAATTCACTGCCGTAACTCGGAATCGTGGACTCTGTATCTACCAAAAAAATAAATAAACAAATAAATAACAGAAGCACTCTTTGATTTTTAAGAAAAAAGACAGGTATTTATGTGTTTAAATTGAATATAAAGTGTTTATTTGGTGTATTATAAACGAAATATATTGGTTATTTCGTATATTATAGCAGATCAATCTGTCTTAATTATTTAAATTCGGTTAGTTCCTAAATCTAACTATTCTTTAACTAAAATTGAAAGGATGATCTGGTTTTTTTATAAGTAATCTGTTGTTAGATAACAATAAAAGTTCTATTAATACCTACATAAATCTTTATATTCTTATAATTCTGTCAAAATATGTTGATGGTATTTTCCAGTGAATTATTCTAAAAATGCATATTAAGGGTGATCTCTGTGGAACACCCAGTATGCATGATTCCAGTAATTTTCTTATTCTCAAAAGTAATAATATGGAATAGTAAGTAATATTCTAAAAAGTCTGCATACTTAAAATATCTATTGATCAGTAATTAAGAGATAAAAGAAAATTAATAATAATAAATTGTACTTACCTAGATTGTACTTCATTTATCAAAAGTGGAGCTGAGGGAAGGGTTAAATTCAGGAATCTGCCACCTCTATTCTGAGGAAAAGTGAGAGGATAAACTATAGTGTATGCCCGATTCAATTGCCTGGGAACAAAATTCTGAAATATTATTGTTTTATTGTCTTCAGAACTTGCAGGATCTGCTTCAGTTACAATTCTAGTTGACGGTGCATAAGACAGTTGAAATGGTATTCCTGCAAATTATTTTCAAATTTAGAGATTTATAGTTGGGAATGAGTTAAATTTTCTATGATGTAAAATGCATACCAAAATTATTTGATAGCACTGTTTTCATCCATAGTAGTTGAAAGAAAGAAATGAGAATTGAAGTCTGCATTACATAAATTTTAGCTTCTGTTCCTTTGGAATCAATGAGACCACTGAAAAATAAATCAGAATAATAATTATTTATTACATAATTTTAAATTAAATTAGTTCATTTAAGTCTAACATAATATATAATCAAATAAATAGATATAAAAGCAAAGCAAAAAGATCCAAAAAGCAAATAGGCACAATTTTTCAAAATTAAATTAAAAACATCGGATAACTAAGAAATATAAATAAATTTCATGGAAAATCATTGATTTAATTGTCTACTAAAATTAATAAAAGAATATATATATACATAAAAGTCTTTTAGTTAGCTGGATTGATATCTTTGTCATGTGTACATTTAATTCAGACAGATCCATAACTAAATATTTCTAACTAACCAACAGCCTCCTCCAATATTCAATTAAATACTTAAATTAATAGAAGACAATAATTTCGATTAATTAAAATTTGTATTTGAATTTTGACTGTTATTACATATAAACTTTGAATTATCCAGTATAATCTATTATTACAATGCGCAAATCCAATTTTCGGGCTAATCCAAGGTAACAGACTAACCAAATGCTGTTCTCCTTTCCTCCCTCTAAAAACTCCTTCAATGTGTTAATCCAATCCTCTTTTAATTTATCTGATTAAAAAACACAGCAACAGAATATTAATATATAAAATCAATTTCAATATTCATTTTAAATTTTTAAGCTTTTCGTCTGCTTTTCGAAAGGCAACCGTGTAAAATACACTGTATTTTTCTCATTGATATGAATTTCATATTAATTAGCCTTTACTTTAGAAAGATTTCTTCAAAAGTGGATAAACCGTCTGCTACATACCAAACTAGTGTCATAACATTTGATGTTAACTTTGTTTTTCTTGCTTTAGATGCAACAAAATAAAAATCTACCTTTATTTTCAACATCAATATCTTCTAATTGTTTTCTCCAAATAAATTAAATGATTGATTTATTTATTTTTAAAATTTATCACCTAATTGAAATTAGAAAATGAGAAAAAAAATTCGAAAAATTAAATAAAATGCTTCTACTTAGAAGTTGAAATTAAGAAATTTATTCGTTTGTCAGAAGGACCTGTAATTAAACGACATTACTAGTCCATTTATATTTTCCCTGGTCTGTTTACATGTTTCTATTAAATAACTTTTTTTTTTGAAAAAAAAGAAGCTAATAAACTTAGTTTAAAAGAAAAATTGCTATACAGAGAATATGTAACTACAAAATTATTATGACACTTGCTACTGTGATACTAAAACATAGACCAAAACATGAAACTGAAAATCAAAAAACCAAAATAGTATACCATTCCTTTACATTTATTCCTGGTTGGAGGAAAACTGATAATTATTTTATGGGTGATCCGAGTCAAACTTTTGTGGTATCGGACCAACGAACCACCGATTATTTCAAGACCTGGCTCTACCATCGCAAATCCAAAGTAATAAGCTGAATGTGTTTATGGAACAACTTCTTCAAACTGCTCAAACTATCCAATTATCCATCTTCAGTTTACATGATGGAAAATATAACTATAACTCCCAAATAATGAGAAAATTTTAAGTTCTACAAATTACTTCACTTTCCTCAGTTCTATTTAAAATGCTATTTTTGCAATGAACCAAAATTACCAGACTCACCAGAGAAAAAGAACAGTGATTCCCCTTTCCAACTTTCTCTTATCCGGTGAAAGCTTGATGCGACACTTTCCCTGGACAGGTCTTTTAATTCTTTCAGTGATAACAGTTTGGCTTACTCTCACCCATATGAAGATGAGTTCGCTGCTTTTGACACAGGAATCAGTCTGAAATTTAAGAATGGGGTCAGGCAGCCTCTCAGAGCGTGTAAAATGCTGAAGACTCAAAGAAAAGGCGTCACCCCTCCAGTTGACAAGAGTCAAATGGAAAAAAAACAATAAAACTAGTAAAAAAAAGGGTTTGTTATTTGGAGAAAGTGTTTTTCGCTCCGTATGGATAGCTCTTACCTTGAGAAGGAAAAGAATATGTTGGACGTAGAATGATAAAGACTAAGAGAAATGGAGGTAAATAATCCTTTGTCAAGATGGGATATAAAATTTAAATTGCCCCATGACGACAGGTCTTGCCAGGTATGGTAAAATATGGCGATATCAATTACTTTTCGGGGTGGTTTTATGGAATAGACCGATGAATTTAACTATTCCTGGAGAAGTAGGGATACCAGAAAGTATAATCGCTATAAATCAAAACAAATGCTAAAAAATATAAACAATGGCGCACACGCTCCTAGAAGAATTTTATTTTTATACATCAGGACATACACCATTACTCTTTCTGCAACGGGAGTTAACAAAAAAATTTGATGCTACACTCAAATACTGAACTTTTATTCTTGCCCCGATATTCTACATTTATTTTCATTAAATGAAAACAATTGTTTGTGTTTTTGATAAAAGATTTTGGGTTAAAAACAGTCAATGTCATGCGTAATACCAAGGGAAATATTTTATAACCGTTATTTATCAATGATGAGCGAAGATGAAATTTAGGCAATCTGTGAATGTCATAAAATTGTTTTTCCTTTTCGGGAATTTCTATAAATAAGATGACATCAGCTAACCATCAAAATGTAAATTTCAGTTAGTCTAACAACTACAGACATCGACGAAAGTATTCGCATATATAGCTTATTTTAAAGTTCAGTTTAATTTAATTAATAAAAAGTATAATATAGATATTTAAATTGAAATAACTTTTTACTCAGAACTTCACTTTCTACAAACAGTAAATATTTTAGTTTTTCTTCAAAGATACTATTTAGTGCTCTAAATTGAAACGATATCAGCCTGAATGACTTTTGTTAAAATTATTAGATTTTCACGAACTTAATGCTGATCAAAATTATTCAAAGAGTATACTCCGAATATGCTAATCAGTTAACGTTAACTCTTAATTATGTTACGGAAACAGACGCTACAAATTACTTCATCTGGATAAACATACTTATTTTTCCTGAGTTGGACTTTTGAATATCAAAATATAGGAAATAGCCGCAGTCGGGAAATTAGGTCCGGATAGTTTAATCAGGGCAAACGACTGGTTGAAAGTTTGGGTTACTTAGTATTAATTTTACTTTATGCGTATTCTTCATATTTTGGAAAAATTTTAAGCAAATCTAATTTTTTTGCACACAATTTCAAATTTAATTATGTCATACAGAATTCCTTGTAAAAATAATTCCAAAATTTTTTTATCATTTTTATTATTTAATTTAATAAGGGTCGAATTAATTTTAATTTGGTTTGGTAAGCAAATTATTACAACTCTAATCTTTATCTAAATGACAAAAATGCAATATTTGAAGGAAATTGGTGGAACATTTTTTGAGATGAAGAATTTTAAGAATATAACTCTTTTCAAATTATATAACTCAGAAATTATTTAATTGATTTTGTTACAAAGATTGTATTATGTCATTTAAAATGGTGAAAAAAAATTATGCCTCATAACTTAAAATTTTCTCAGATCTTCTTAAATAAAATAACAAAAACTATCAAAAATGATTTTTTACATGAGATTAGCTTTGGATAAATTAAATTTATAATTCTGTGAGTAACGTTGCTCGCCTCTGTGACTTTGGTTCACAGGTGCCCACTAGGTAACGCTAAATGATCATTTAGAGGAAGTCAATCCCTTCATCTTCATAGGCAAAGATTCAAATTTAGTGCCTGCCATTGGAGAAAAAAAATATTTATAATTCTGTGCAAAATTTTTCGATTCACATAAAAATTTCCCGAGATGTAGCTAAATATGCAGATAAAGAAACTAACTTAAGAGTTTCATATTTTTGACAGTTTTCCTAAAAAAAATATTGGAGCAATATTTTCCAGATTGAATATTATTGCAATAATGTATACTTTGATTGGCAAAAATCTAAATCGTTGGTGAAAGTACATCTATTCAAAAAAACGTACGCTTTTGTATAAGTTTCTATAATTTCATTAATAGTTAGTATTAATTAATTAGCATATTTGAAGTTGAATATTGTTTGAGATGAAGAATTTTAAAAGTATAACTTCCTTATAATATAATTTCTAATAATTATAAAACTTAAAAACTATTTAGTAATTGATTTAGCTTAAATATCGTATTTTGTCATATAAAATTAATAGTTTCAAATAGTGAAGAAAAAAACTATGCCTCACAACTTAAAATTTTTTTCAAACCTTTTTAAATTAAATAATAAAACTTATCAAGAATTATTGTTATTTGAGATTATTTTTGTATATATTAAATTTATAATTCTGTACAAAAGCTTTCACTTTAAATTTTCCAGCGTGATGGCTATATATGCAGAAAGAGAAGTTAAAATTAGAGTTTCAAATTTTCGACAGTTCTCCAGCCTAAACTATTGGGAACATATTTTCCAGGTTGCTTCTATTATTGCATATTTTAATGATTTAAAATCTAAATTCGTTAATAAATGGCTATTAAAAAAAGTACGCTTTTGAGCCTTTTTCTGAAATTTCACTGAAAGTTAGCACTAATTAATTAGCATATTTGAGATCACTCCTTCAAACCATAAAGATTGGCACAAAAAACAGTCCCACCTCTCCGGAAAAAAATTGAATAAGTAAATAAAAAGTGGCCATCGGAAATAAAGCCGCCACCTCTACCAGTGTTATGAGTAACGTCTGATCCTAAACATTCGACTACAACTAGGAAGATTGATTTATGAGGTCAGAAAGCTGTCAAATACCTGTCCTATGTCAAATTTAGCCCAGGCATCAGAAAGTTACATTTTTATTTCTTCTGCACATTGCAATACAAAAGATATGCAGCTATTTAAGTTTTGATCAAACGATTTTTTAAGCAGTGGATTTTAGAAACTCGTAATTTTGAGGAGAATAAAACTCACCGAGAAATAATTTTTTAAACATATAGCTCAGCAGGGTTAAAAATATGGTGATTTTAAAATCTAACTTTATCGTAGAAACTAAGAATACAATTATTTTTTATATTTTAACATTAGATGAATGTAGCCATAGAAGTTTCTTTAACTGTGCAATTATCGTTTGCTTCAATTCTAATTTTTCTCACCGAGTGAATGGTTTAAATATTTTGATCGTCTGTGTTTTGACTGTTGTTTATTTAAAATTATATTACTGTATAATCTTTTTAATTTCGATATTTGTTGAATCATAAACTTTTTGACGAGAGAAATTTGTTAGTTTGCATGTTAAGCCTCTTACATAAGTTATTTTCAATTCCTGCTTAATACTTTTGTCATTCGAAGTAATGTCATTGCGACAACTCATGGAACTTTTTCTTAGTAAGCTTTGAATGTTACATTTAAAGACACTGTTTTGAATTCCATTGCTTATTTAGATGCTATAACATCTCTGGATTACTGAAGGTATGAATCACATATTTGAATATTGTGTGTGTGTTTTAAATGTAAGTTTATGAACCTGTACTTGAATTTTAATTTCATTTTGACTTCATTTGCTTTGATCTTTAAATGGCGAACTTGTAAAAGTTTAACTCCCTATACGTATTTTTAAACATAATCTCAAACGGCACTTTTTATGGTAGGATTTTTTTGTTCTTTATTATTTAGTGTCATTTAGTGTAAGGGGAAAAAAGATCCCTAAACTTTTTCTATAAAAACTTATGCTTTCTATATAAACTTTTGTGTTGCCCTCAGAGTCAGATCAATTTCGTCATTCTTAGACTTGATTTGCATAACTTATTAAAAATACTATACAACTAAGCATTCTTTAGCAAACCCAAATGTTTAATTTTTAGAAACTTTCTTTTATTTTTATTTACATAGTTCTATATGAATTCTATTCTAGAAAATTTCTGGGTTGATTGTAACATACTAAAGGATTGATTCTGCATTATGATTCAATATTGTTGTTGATAAAGTGCATAACAAGAAACAAATTTACACTATTTCTATAAAAATATTTTTATTTTAACTCCTAACGGTTGAAATACTAGTAGTAATAATAGTTTTAAACGAAAATTAAGTGTCACGACATTGTTCGGTTTTTACAATTGCTTTTATTTTCCAAACTTTCTTTCTATCTATCTATCTATCTATCTATCTATCTATCTATCTATCTATCTATCTATCTAT